TAAGGGTTCTAATTTCCTCACATCCTCACCAACATTTGTTATTTTCTGATGGGAATGCAAAATGGTACAAAATGGTACAGTAGCACTGCCCTCATCAATACTTAGATCCTGCTGTTCGTTTGTCCCACACTTTCTGAATTCTTCCTCACTCCTGGCAATTTCCAGGACCCAGTTGTCCCTGATGGCAGTCTTTTGTCTTTCTCTCCTTATTCACTGTTCTCACCTCACCTTTGAGTGTGAACACCAATTGTGGCAGAATTCAAGTTTTATCCAAGGTTTTTCTGGGCTTCTGCAAAACTGGTCATGTTGTTCGGTATCTGCTTGTGTCCCCAAATACTCTAAGAATTAAGAAGTTTCATAAAAATTCTATGACAACTAAACTGATTCTCTTCTCTGCCTTGCTCCAATCTCAGGTCTGTCCCCAAGTCTTAATTATCTAGTCCTGTTATAACAGAGGTACCATAATTGGGTAGCTTTAACGAACAGAAATTTATTTTTTTACAGTTTAGGAGGCTAGAAGTCCAAATTCAGACTGCTGGCTCTAGGGGAAGCCTCTCTCTCTCCTTCTGTCTTCTCTGGGGGAAGGTCTTTTCAGCTTCTATTCCTAGATTCTTTGGGGATCACGTGGCATGTATCTTTCCCTCCATTTGTGCTTGCTTGCTTATTCTGCTCTTTTATATCTCAAAAGAGATTGATTTAAGACACACCCTACACTAATAACTCTCATTAACATAACAAAGAAAACCCATTCCCAAACAGTATTATAACCACAAGTATGGGGTTAGGATTTACAACACATTTTAGGGGGACACAATTCAATCTATAACACCCCACCAAGATACTCTGTAACATAGGTAGAGTACTTGGTTCATAGTAAACACTCCAAAAATGGTTAGCTGTTACTATCACCCAGAATCAGAATTATCAGCAGTGTGAAGTTCAGAGAACACCTTGTGATAAATAGATTGAGGAGCCTGGAGATGAAGTTCTCTGTTTTTTCTCTGACGGTTCAAAAAGTCACAGGTACCAAATATTAAGTCTTACCATCTCTTTGAGGACTCTTTCATGTTATTACACGTTTTTGTCTAAGATATACTATAACTGGGAGGGGTTGATTTATGAGGCAAAGGACAGGATCAATTTTAAAATGTCTCGGAAGATTTTCTGTCCTGATCTCTCAAGCTGTGCGTGGGTGCAGCCTTAATAACCTTGGAGAGTAAATAACATTGCCAGTTGCAAAATTGGGACATAGAAGTTGACTGATAACTGCATTATAAATGAACCTCAAAGTGGTAGGTGTGCCTCTGGATGTGAGGATGAGGGTGTGGTATACTTTTAATTAAAAATTGAAGGAAAAAAAAATCCTGTGAGGAAATTTTAGTTTTGTTTAGGTTCCAGCTGTTGTAATCTTTTAAAGTTAAATACGACATTGTTTCACTCCTCAGAATATTGAAACTGACACTGAGTTAAAATTTTGTTTTAAGTTAGAATGAAGTGATCTATATAGATCCCTTTTATTTAAGACATATAGAATAAAAATAATTTCTCAGAGAGTTATATTTCTTTGATTAGCAACCATTGTCTAAAATCCAGTGGTAAAGATTACATTGGTAGCATGAATGTTTATTCCTGGGGGGGTTTCTGACCATAAAATCTATAGTAAAATAGACATTTTAACTAGAAGAGAAAATACAAATGAATCCCTGGAGATGATCTCGGTCTACTAATTGCCCTAACTAATACCTTGAAAGTTATTTCTTATTGTTCTTCATATTTTTCTCCCCGGATATTGAAACAATACTGCCGTGTGTGTGTGGCCTGTGTTTGTTGGCCCAGCCCATGGGAGAATCTCTCTCACCTTGTTATGTGAATACCTTGGCTACCCCACCCTACATTAGTCTCTTACTGTCAAAAGAAAATGGGCTGGACCATGGCTCTTCATGTAAATGTTATGCAGGTTAATATTTGAATAGCTTGGACAGGAATAGAAGTCTTCCTGCTGTATGCTCTTGGCAGGTGTTAGCCTCATTGACTTGAGCAACCTTCCACATGTAAGTCAGTCCCTTGTCTGAACTTTTGTTTTCTTGCTCTTAATCAATTTCTTGATTTGTTTCCTTGGTTTTAAAATATATCCAGTAGATTATTTTTCTCATGATCTGCTGAGGTCTCATGGGTGGTGTGTGCAGGTTATGTTCTTCTGTGGGTCTGGGGTGCTGGTTTGAGTAGGGGTGACTTTTGAAGCTGGAAGAAAAGAGCCTAATTGTAGAAAGTTTTTTTCTAAATTACTCCCCCAACCTCTGTTTCACACAGACATCCTGAGGGGCCCCATCCCTACTTTTCATTAACTGTAATCCTATATGTAAAACTAAATATGAAAAAAGACCTCCTTCTTTACTCTGGTTATTCTTGTAATAAGCAGGAAAAATATTGTCCTACTTATTACAAGAATAAAAAACTAGAATTGAGATTTTTTTGTATATTGGGCTTGTTTTCTGATCACAGATTTACAAAGATTAATGATTTGGGAGTAATATCCAATTGCTTCCTTTGCAACTGTTCAAGAAAAATGCAGCAAGGTATGGCTACTAGATATATGAGGTTTCTTAAAAATCACAGAATTATTAGTTGTTTAATCAACAAATGGTTTATATTTATCAGAAGATTTTTCACTAAAATGTTTCACATGTAAGTATAAGACAAAAGAAGGGTTTAAACAGAATCATTGCAAATCATTTATAGTATAGTTGAGGCAAAGTATATTTTTGCTGTATTTATTATTTTGAATTTAAGTAATGATAAGAATTTTTTTTTTAATGAAGTTTTCAGAAATGGTGCATTCCTGTTTCCCCTGTATTGGAAACAGGGTTGATGGAACAGGAAATAAAAACTGCTTTCTCTTTCAAACTTCTTAAATTAAAATACAAACATCTATGACCCTCAAAGGTACAAGATGACATCTTTTTCTGACAAAGTTAGATTTTTAGTTTAAGTGCAATAAGAACTGTTATTTCAACTCACACATAGTAAAGATTTTTTATGTTATGGAATGTTAAATGGGCCTGATATTGTTTTATTAAGGAATCAATTCTTGTCGATTTTTATGAACTATGATACTTAATGAAACTGAGGGATATTTCAATTTTCCTATTTTTATAGCTTCATTTCTTATTGAAATATTGCAATATAGTTAAATAAGCATATAATAATTACTAATACAGCCTAGTTAAATATTTAAAAAATGGACTCACGCTTCCCGAATTCTTCTTCACTATCTACGAGGTATAAAGTACAATTAATCTTGAAAATTTGATTCAGACATCACCCAGTTTGTTAACTCTGTTCTGTGCGCATGAGGGTCATTTGCAGAATGTTGTGTTATAAAGCATTTGACTGACATTTTTGTCTTCCTGACTGGCCTGGTTGCTGTGCTAGGACGAGGACTTTGCTTTAGCTGTGTGTCTCCAGCATTTGTCACTGTTTCTGGCACAAAGTGGGCCTTTAAGGAAAGTTTGTTGAATTAAATTAAAATGATGTCATGAGGGGCTTTAGTCGCGTACGGTCTGACCCGAAGACTTTTACAACAAAGACAAGTGAAATGAGAAAGAGAAGACTGACAAATATAACTGAGATAGAGGCAGACTGGCTATAAATTCTTGCTCTGTAAAATAAGTTTGATTGTGGATGTTTCTGAACATTTCAGGTGAGCATTTTAAAAGTTTATATATACATCTTTTACTAGCCTAAGCCAATTGGGACGTCTTTGCCTCTCCAGTGGCCTGGTCTAGAGTTAAGGTATGCTCAGAGGCGATTCTGTTTTGAGTGGAGGGAACACAGTTTTCATTCCGGTCTGGGTTTGAATACTTGGATCCACCCTTCAAAATGCTCTTGGGAAATTACTTCAGGTCCCTGGCCTCAATTTCCTCACCTGCAACAAGTAAATTTTTTCTTGCTGGGCTTTTGAACATTTGAATGTGCTTCATAAATGTAAACTGCTATTATTGTACTGGGTAACTACAAACTCTTGTCAAACCTTTACCTTTCCATGACTGTGGTAAATATTTTCTTGGGTAGATTCTATATGCTTTGTATGACATATAGCATCCCTCCACAGAAACTTGTTGGTTGTGACAGTTAATAAGGAGATCTATGCTTCATTATGGAATATTTAAATGTCTTCTTTCTTGCATTGTCTGTGTAAGTTTTTGATATATCAGCATGGTTTCAGTTTTAATTTATTAAATTTTAACTAGCTTCATTTTATAAATAAATAATAATGATAATGAAAGTAAACTTATTAGAAAAACTTACTGTTTAAATACCTATGCTCCTACTAAATGATTTGAAAGAGATGTGAATTAATCAACCCCAAAGTCCTAAAGTTCCCACCAAATTAGGAATTACTGGTAGAGACTAAAAGGTTTAAATGAGATTTCAGATACTTGCCCTGGCAGGCTGGGACCACAGTTTTGTTAAGCTCCTTTTGAGCTCCAAATAATAGGTGCTGACTTAGATTTATCCCTCAGATCTTTGAGATATGGGTTAAGATTAAAATGTATGATTTGTTTAGCTAGAGAATCTAAAACCATATTTAAATCACCAGGTTAAAAGATTTAGGTTGAATAATATTTCTATAAATAGAAATGCTGTCTTATGCCCATGTAGAATGTTCTGTTTAAAGAAAACTTGACTTAAGTTCATGAAAGAAACTAACTGCCCTTTAAGTTTAGTATTTTTGTCCAAAAATTTATCAGGTTTTGTTTTCTTTAAATATCAAACTTATAAATATACTTAAAATTGGAATTTGGGGGGTAAATACAGCTTTGTGGAAGTGTGTACATCAGTATGCCCTATACCATCCCATTTCCATATCCTCTCTAAAAGAGCAAAGTAAATATGGGTTCGTTTAAAATTGTATGAAAATGTTTGCTTGAAACAACCTCTCTGGAATGTAAAATGTCAAGTTGTTGAACTTTTTCTCTCCATTTTTTCTCTTCCTTAAGGAGAATGGTGCTGAACACTTGTGTTCTGAGAACCTGCCACAATCCAGGTTTGCCTGAATTTGTATGCATATTCATTTAATTTTTAAGAGAATTCTTTGAACCTGATCTTCCAAAATATTTCTTCTACTCTTTTGGCAGGGAATATCCCACACTACCAGTGCCTGGACACACTTCATCCACAGATAGTACTGTAATTTCAAGTGGTGAGTGAGTTTGGAAAAGAAATAAAAATAATTTTAAAAAACCAAACCAAACCCATTGTTGTTGAGTTGATTCTGACTCATAGCGACACTGTAGGACAGAGTAGAACTGCCCCATAGGGTTGTCAAGACTGAAATCTTTTGCAGAAGCAAACTGCCATATCTTTCTCCCACAGAGTGGCGGGTGGGCTCGAACCACAGACCTTTAGGGTAGCAGCCAGGGCTCCTGATAAAAATAGAGTATTGGTATTATAACTATAAGCCTGATGTTCTGTGACCTGTTGAGATGTGTATGAATGAAAATAAAATAGGCAAATACTCATTTTGCATAGTATTCATACTGTTAGTTTCTTCCTGTTGATAGATGCTAGCTCAGAAATTTTGAATATGGCTGCTGGTGGCCTTGACTGTAGATCGCTCTGTGAGAAAGAGGAAGATACAAGATCAGCTTCTACCATGATAGAGACTCAAGGTAAGCTGTTGAGGGGTTCAAGTATAGTATAGTCTAAGACATGAAGGAAACCTATTAGAGTAACTATCTTCAGTAGCTCAGTGATATTATGTTATAAAATAATTTTATCGTCTGGAGAAAAGAAATCTAAGGGTGACTGTGGCCTTTATGGGGGTGTTACTAGTCTTTCTTTCTTTTTCTCCCAATTCCTTAGATAGAGCAAACGTTACAATATATATTAACGGGACCTCAATACTTCATTCTGGTGAAAGTCAATTTGACACAACTGGGTCTCCAGTATGGCACAGCTGTAGAATCACCTGCTTAGTAAATTCTCAGAAGCATAATTAGAATCCGTCAGTTTGGAAGAATGGACCAATTAGGGCTGATCCATTCAGGGCAAGAGAATTAACTAGATGATTTGTAGATCCTTTTCTGCTGCTTGACTCTGAAAACAAAGTACTTTCCTTGACTGTTCCCAGTGAGACACCACTGTAGTTGACACTATGGGAATCATAGGCTTCCATTCCCACCCCCAACCCCCACCAAAAGAAAAAAAAATCAGTCAAGGGACGTGTACCTTTTCTACCGTTTGTATATCAAACCAAAAACCAAACCCATTGCCATCAAGTCAGTTCCAACTCATAGCGATCCTATAGGACAGAGTGGAACTGCTCCATAGGGTTTCCAAAGAGCAGTTCGTGGATTCAAATGGCCAACCTTTTTGTTAGCAGCCGAGCTCTTAACCAATACACCACCAGGTCTCCGAAAGAAGTGCAAAATTGCAGAAATAGAATTCATTCTCTGGGTTAACTGAAGAGTATCTTTATGCTCTACTTCACACCTAATTAGAAATTTTTTTTCTAAAAAAAACATGGCTAGATACCATTTTTCACCTACCAGATAGACAAAGATACTCTGTGTTAGTAGGATTAGGAGAAAAGGAAATTCTCATACATTGTTATAGGGAATGTAAATTATTGTAACAAAAATGGGGGAAAATTTGCCAATATCTTTCAAAATTTTAAATGTCCATACATTGTGATATAACAATTCAATTTCTGGGAATTTGTCCTATAGATACAGGTACACACATAGAAAAATGACATATATATAAATTTATTCATTGCAACCTTGTTTGTAATAGCAAAGTATTTGAAACCAATTAATATCTATCAACAGAAGAGTGGTTAATAGAGTTTGGTATATATTCATGCAATGGAATACTAAGCAAGCATAAAACGTGTAAGGGAAATTTTAACTTAGAATGTTATAAAAGAAATATTGTTTCTTGAAGAAACAAAAAAGCAAAGTATGAAATATTTTGTATAGCATGCAAAAATTTATGGAAAAGGATAGGAAAAATGTACGTGTTCACAAATTATCTCTGTAAGACTAGACAAAAATTAATAACGTTGTCTATGAGGAGGGAAACTGGATGTCTGGAAAACAGGGATGGGAAGGAAAAATTTTAATGTATAACATTTCTGTACTTTTTGATTTATGGATCATATGAATCTATTACCTGTCTTAAAATTTAACAAAAAAACTAAAATAAAATTTATATGGGGAAAAATTGTATATCCCTGAAGAAACTGGCAACCATCTTGTTCTTATTTCTATATAAATTGTAAAATAATAATATATGCTTTAAATATTTTTCTCTTAAAAAGAAAGAAACAAAACTACCTGTAGTTGCTGACCTCTGTGCCTCCACTGAACTTAATTCAGGACAATGAATCATGTGAAGAGGCAAATAATTATTGTGTACACTACCATATAAATAAAGTACACAAAAACGAAAGGAGGTTAAAAAAAGAAACGGCATAAATTAAAAGTAGATTTTTTTTTCCTCTTAATTTAATGACGTTTTATTTGGAAAGATGCCATGTTGTTAGAAGGATATACTTTGTTATCAACCTTGATACGTAGTTTTTTAAAAAACCTGTTTTTCAAGCCATAAAAAGCTACTAAGCTACTAATTGTTCTTATTTCCTTCACCCAGTTTCTATTATGACACTAGTAAAGCAGAATCAGCTTTAAAAAGCACAAAACCTACTGTTTGAAGGCTATTTATACAAACATTCATCTCTGTTAAGAAATCTTGCATGGCCTAGTTTCCTTGTGAACCTAAGCCACTCTCTCCCTGATTCTGAGACAATGGGCACATTTGAATTTTTGTGGTACATAATTTGTCTCACATGTTAAGGCCTTTGCCCTTACTGACCTGCCCATATTGACATCCTTATTATTTCTTCTTCTTTTACTTGTTGCTGCTCCCGCAACTGTTAGTATGTTTCCTTTTTATCATAGGCACCAGCCTGGCTCATGACGATACTCCCCTCCAAGGCTCTATGAGTGAGGACAAAGCCATATTAAACCTGGTAAGAAAATATACAAACATTAATAAGAGTGATAATATATTAAAAAGGTAGAGCTATCCCATTAAGTTTGCAAACTTACTCCTGTCCATTTGATTTCTACTCATAGTAACTCCATAGGGTTTCCAAGGTTGTAAATCTCTATGGAGGAGCCCTGGTGGTGCAGTGGTTAAGACCTTGGCTGCTAACCAAAAGGTCAGCAGTTTGAATCCACCATCAGCTCCTTGGAAACCCTATGGGGCAGTTCTACTCTGTCCTATAGTGTTGCCATGAGTCCGAATCGACTTGATGGCCACGGGTTAAATCTCCACAGAAGCAGACTGCTACATCATTCTCCTGCGGAGCTGCTGGTGGTTTCGAACCGCCAACTTTCCATTAGCTGTCCATTGCTTTAACCACTGTGCCACCAGGGTTCCTTTAAGTTTGCAAGGTACCCTCACAAGCATGATCTCATTGTATCCTTTTAAAATATTATGAGGTCAATAGAATCTAATTTTATCAATATTTTATAGATGAAGAAGTTGAGGCCAAAGTGTCTTTGTGACTTGTCTAAGGTCACACAGTAGAGTCAGAGCTAGAATCTCCTGACTCCACATTGATTGATTGTTCAATCATTCATTCATTCATCAGATGTTTACTGGAAACAGGCTAAATATCTATCAGTAGAGGACTGCTAAAATAAATGAACACATTAATAAATAATAATAATAAAGTTGAATAAAATAGTGATATCTATCTTGAAGAAGTTATTTTAATCAGGTGAAGAAACAGATAATTACTCAGTAATCAGAGTGTAATTAGTGATATGAAAGGAAAATGCTTGAGGTGTGAGGCCACGGAGGGCATCATGGAGAAGATGCCGGGTGAATGGAGTGTTAAAGAACTCCTATGAGAAATCTAGGTCACTAGTGTTCCAGGCACGGGGAACAGCATGTGTGGAGGCTGAGAATACGTGCACAGCAGTTCTCTTAGGGAAGGTCAAGTAATTTGGCATGGTTGCGGTAAACAGTATATTTTGAGAGAGTATGATATAATGGTGAAGAGCAGATCCTGAAGCCAGAATCTATGGTTCATATCCTAGTTCCACTACTTACAAGCTCTATGTTTTGGGGAAAGTGACTTAATCTATCTATACCAGAGTTTCCTCATTTCTAAAATGGGGATAATAACTGTGCCTACCTAATGGATTATTGGGAGAATTAAATGAATTAATATACATAAAGTGATTAGAATAAGTGTTATATGCTGCTGCTGTTGTTGTGGAGAAGATAGAAATATTAGGCAGGGGCTAGATAATGATGAACCTATTAAATCATGCTACAATGTCAGATTTGGTCAATTCAGTGGCCCTTCTAATCTAGAACTTAATTTTTTAGTAAGGAGTCTTCTGATCCAACACTAGGTTATGCCTCCCTGTTACATATTTCCATAACATCTTATATGTTCCCTATTGTAATATTGTTTAGTTTGATATAGTTATATTTTGGGCAAAATTCTTGCTCAAAGACTGGGGGCTTCTTTTCTCCCTGACAGTCTATAAAATAAATATTCACTTCTTTTTTTAAGTCAGTAAGTAAAAAATAAGGAGCCCTAGTGGCACAGTGATTAAGTGCTCAGTTACCAGCCAAAAGGTCAGTGATTCGAACCTACCAGCCGCTCCATGGGAGAAAGATGAGACTTAGGAGGCTGGATTTTCCAAAGATCCCCTGGCACAAGTTTACTTGTTTAATGTTTCCTTGCCTGCTGAACTATAAATTTTGTGATGGCAAAGACTGGTTCTGCCTTGTTCACTGCTAGAACTCGGCAATTAGCACAGTACCTGCCATACAAAAGGTGATATGACCCAATTAAACCCTACTGAATGTTATACAGTTGTGTAGCACATCTCTAGAAAAGATTGTAAGGATAACTGTTTAGCTGTGTATAGAAAAATAGTTAAATTTGTTTTTTTAAAAGGGGGAGTCGTTGCCACTATTATGAGTTACTTTACTGGAATAACTTGTAGACTATGGATCCAATTCCATTCTTTGTCATCAGAGGTCTTGTTTATTCGTTCCTTTCTCTATTGTATGTGTTGGGTTTTGTGTATATGTATGAGTACTGTTGTTTTCACCTCAATATCTAAGCATTGTTTTTAGTTAGAAAAATCATGCATTTTGGTTGCAAGAAACAGAGACGCACTCAAGCAAACTCAAGACGAGGTTATGGCATTAATACTTTTAGGGCAAGAAGGTAGAAAAAAATTTACCGATCAGTATTCCAGCCTGAAGGCAGTGGCATGATTCAGTATGTGATTTAGGATGACACCGTTGACTGCAGTATGAAGTGTAGACAGGATAGTGTTGGCTGCCACACATGCTGAAGGTAGAGGCTCTCAGCAAATAATGGACAGAGGAAAATTCAAGTCCTCTGGACTTTCATGGTAGAGTCATACGGTAAAAAATAGTTCCTTCTTGTCTCAAAAATATAAGATAAAGAAATAAAGATACTTTTAAAAATAATGGAATAGAAAGACATAGTTAAATGGAGGCAGCGAGACTTAGTAGGATCTGTTGTAATAATTCAAGTAAGAGAAGAAGGTGATCTGAATTAAGTGAGAAAGGAGAGAAAATGACTAATTTGAGAGAGATTTAGGGGGTATAATTCACAGTGTATGGTGACTCATAACAGGGTGTGGGAAAGGGTAAATACCCAGGTTTATGGCTTAACCACAGATGAATAGAATAACATGAGGGGAGGGAGAAGAGGAGAATTTGTGAGGTAACATAAGCTGAGACAAATCAATTTTCAGGCTGATGCAGGATGACAATAGTCTGTAAGGAGATTTTGTCTATAGCTACATCCCAATATTTATAAACTCACCCACGAGGCTTTTAGATACAGACCTACATTGGAAATTTATCATCAAAGAACCAAGCGTATGCTTGAGATTTCCTGAGGACTCTTGCTGATAGGAAGAGAGCACTGAGCATAGTGAAGTCTTGATGAACAGCATCTGATAAGACATTGAAAAGGCAGAGGAGACTGAGAAGGAGCTATTGGAGTGATGGAGGGGCCGATGAGGAGAGGGAAACCAGTGAAAGAAAAATCTACAAAAAAGAGTTTATAGATAGTTTAAATGCTACCACGAGGTCCAGTAAGATAAAAACTGAAAATTTTTCACTGGGTTTGGCAATAAGGAGTTCATTGATAACCTGATAAAAGCAATTTCCTTGGAGTGTTAGGTACAGGGATAGACTAGTTAACTGAGTGTGAATGGGAAATGAGGAACTGGGAAGAGCAGACCTTTGATGACTCCTCCCAGAAGCTTGTCTGTGAAGGGCAGGAGAGGAAGAAGATGCCATTGGTAGAAGAGGTCGTGGCATAGAAGGAGGATTTGAAAAATTTGAGAATGTTTAAATGTAGATGGTAAAGATCCACTGCTTACGTGTACTACTACATTTGTTACTTTTTATCACAACTCTGTAATTTTTGTCTAAAAATTACATGATGTAGCATCAATGGCTCTACCAAGAAATTTGTCTTCTTAGACTTTTATATTTTAGTAGGAAAACTTCAGTTTTCTAAATTTCTCCATTAGCTTGAGAATGTTGAATAATTCTTATCATAAAAATAATCGTATTCATGTGGAGTAAAAGCCTAACATAACATACTGGATTTTTACACAAATACCTCATGAAGGGGGGCGCGGTTAGCAAACAAACGTAGAAGGCATGCATTATTTGCGTAAAAATACGGTAATTTTAGCAGCTGTTTTTGCCATAATTTCGTCAACAACCCATATAGAAAGACACATGTGACACCACACTTTGCCTCTTCATCCATACAATCCTACCCCTCTAACAAACTCAAACTCAAGTTTTTTGTCTGTAGAGACTTTCCCTGCTACTCAAGCTATGGTGTTTCTCTCCTCCATTTTTAGAGCACTTATTTATCTGTATTTCATATATTTGGTAGTAGATCCTGATTATTTTGTAGTAATTTGAATCATTTTTGCCACTTTTCATATATTTGTGTTCTTTCTTGTTGCAACTAAATTGGAAACCCCCCTGGAGTGGGTCTTGTTTTCTTCCTAATCCCTAGTACAGTTCCTTAAATACTGTAGAGTGCCTAATATTTTTGTCAGATCGGGATTAGGAGAGAACAGGAAGTGGGGAAATGATTGGTTATGAAGAATTTATACACTATGTACAGCAATAAAATCTCTTTATGATTTTAGGAAGCCAAAGAGGAACCAGAAACAATGGAAGAGCATAGAACAGAATGTGCTGCAGGAGGTAAGGAATGTTCTCTTCCAACCCTCATGTGAACTTTTGTTCTCTGCTATTATTTTTATGGGTAAAATCTTTCTGAGTAAAGATATGGACCTACAAATTCTGCATCTCTGGATAAGATCAGCCAATAGGACTGATTCTTGATTCCATTTATATCACTATCAAAAAACTACATTTACACTGCATTGACTGTAAAACTCCAGAGGAACATTTTATTCTGCTACCTATTCATTCAACTCTTTTCTGTCCTCCACCTTGACTACTGCCCTCTTATCACCCTCAAAGGACTTGCAAGAACCCGAGCTGTATTGTGAATTAAGAACTAAGCCAGTGCTGGTAGTAAATTCTAAGCTCCACTTTGAGTTGTTTCGTTGTGTTTTTTTTTTTTTTTTTGAGTTGTTTTTCAGTATCCCATAAGAATAAATAAACCAATATTTAAAGAATAGATGCGAATTTGCTTTCCTCTCCAACCCACCTCATTAGGATGGAACAGGGGTAGAGTTCAGGCTTTGGAGTCACACAGACTCCATGGATCAGTCTCTGACAAGCTGTATGACCTTGGGAAGTTACTTTACGATGACTCCTAGTTTCCTCATCTGCAAAATGGAAATGGTGGCTTAAAAAATAGGTACACTTTATTGAGAATATACTGTGTGCTATATACTAGGCTAAATTCCTTATATGCATAGTCCTCTCAAATACTATATAAGGCAAGTAAACTGTGACTCAGTTTTCTAGCCTGTGAAATGTAGATAACAGTACCTACACCACATAACGTTTGCAGTGAAGATCGAATAAATATATATGAAGCACTTAGAAAAGTGCCTTGCACAGAAGTTCTCATAAAAGTTAGCTACTATATAAAAATAATTAATGTCATCCTTATTTTGTAGATGGCTTAATGAAGTTATGACTTGTCCAAGGTCACACAGCCATAAGGGTCAAAACTAGAATTTAAACCAAACTTTTCAACTCTAAATCCAATGCTTTTAATAACTAATATGTTGTCCTCTTTGCAAAGTTATCATGAAGAATATCATTAATATGTGTAAAGAGTCTTGTTCTGACACTGGTGTATGTTAAACCTGTAATTAATGGCGATGCCATGTTTATTATTGTTACCAGTGTTATTATTACTATTATTATTATTACTACTACTACCATTACTACTGCTGCTGCCATTAAAGTCCTAATCCAGAGAAGGACCGGGGTACCAGAGGAAGGCGTACATTCAGCAGCATTAGATCAAGCCAAATATACATTGAAATACAAAGAGAACAAACTGGGCTCTCCCATGATTCTAAGACACCCTCAGGTTTCAAAGACTATTCATGTGTTGAAGTATGAGTGGGTGATTTGAATGCCATTGTGATCCCAATGGCATGGCATAACATTACATTAAATAATATAAGCAAACACGTTAGTAGCTGGCTATGTGGTCTTAGATGAAGGAGCCCTGGTGGCCCAGTGGTTAAAGCATTCGCCTGCTAACCAAAAGGTTGGTGGTTCAAATCCACAAGCCACTCAACTGGAGAAAGATGTGGCAGTCTGCTTGCATAAAAATTACAGCCTTGGAAACTCTACAGGGCAGTTCTACTCTGTCCTACATTGTCACTATGAGTCGGAATCGACTCGCCGGCTGTGGGTTTTGCTTTATGGTCTTAGACATATTTCAGTGAAATGCTTTTGTTTAGCGGGAATAGGGCATAAAACATTTGATCTAATGTGCCTTTAGATGTTAAGCCTTTTTATCCAAATAATATTTTATTGTCTTTGAATAGACACTGCTGTTTCTCCTCTTCCTGTAACTACAGTGAAATCGGTCAACTTTAGACAAAGCGACAAGTAAGTTTTTCTTCACATAGCATGCTAATATTTTTTGCTCTACTGTTGGATTATGTTTGAACTAAATTCTTTGTCTTATCCTACAGCATTTCTGCTAATGAGAAGGAGGTAGAGGTGAGTTTAAAGCACTTTTTTTTTCTTTATTAAAAGAGTGTTGCAGACCCACCTTCTTTAGTCATTTCATACTTCTGCAGTCTCACACATTTAATGTCTGTCTGGTTTGTCAATGAAAGAGTGCAGGTAAAGCCTACGCAGGTCACAGTTATGATGCTGAGTGGATAAGAAAAGCCTCAGGATAATCTGGTATTAAATTGAAATATTTGACCATATCTAATTTTCTCTCCTCCTCCACATTATTTTGACAACAGGCCGAGTTTCTCAGGTTATCTTTGGGATTTAAGTGTGACTGGTTTACCTTGGAGAAAAGAGTGAAGCTGGAAGAGAGGTCCCGTGACTTGGCAGAAGAAAATTTGAAGAGGGAAATCACAAACTGTTTAAAGCTATTAGAGGTTAGAAACAGAATATTTGGGGACTCTATGTGGTTATGTTTTTAACAATGTTTTCATAATTACAGATGAGTTTACTTGTATGACTAGTACCAACCCCCGCCTGGCCAAATGTGAATTGATAGAAAGTAAGAATCCAGGATCAGGCTAAAGTAAAAGATTTACTAATAGGAGAGCATCAGAAATTGAACTAAAAATGCTTTCAAAGTAGATTACATGAGTCATCTGCCTTCTGTCTAGATTTTCAAGATTTCAGGCAGTAGAGTAATCATGCTGAAAACTGGGTAGTAGGAGATAATATCAATTTTAAGTTTCTTTGAAGAGAATCAGAAGTCCCCATTTAGGATTAACTGAAGAAAGAGAATGGTGACTAATTTCAGTCTTGTCAGATGGCGGGCAAACCCTCCTTAAGATACTGAGCAAAGAATGAGGGGATTGCGTCACTGGGTTCACAGAAGTGTAACAACTACTGCTATCCTTCCATCTTGTGAAGTTACCATAAACATAGAAATGGGTTGGAAAAGTAAGAAGGCTAATTCTGAATGAAAAAATAAAAACTGAGAAACCATATTCTGCTTTGCTAACAACTAACATCTGCTCTTCCCTTCCCAACTGGAAGTGGTTATTTAAACTACAGTAAGAAACTCTGACGACGGCCCTGCCAACTGGTTAACAACTCCCAGGCAGCAACTCTTACATATCTGTTTCAGAAGTAGCCACCATTCGTTAAGCACCTAGTATGTGACAGGCATTTGACATCTGTTACCTGTAATATCACAGTACTCCTATGATATCATCTCCATCTGACAGATGAGGAAACAGCAAATCATGAACATTTCTGGAATAAGGATGTAATTACAATCAGTGGTGCCTTATAGTTTTATTGGCAGTGCCTTTTCTTTCTTGATTTTACACAAATTAATGGTGCCTCTTATAATCCATGGCATTTTAGATTTGGACAAGTCTTAGAAGTTTGCTTACAGAGAGCTAAAGAGTAGTTGTGCCAAAAATGAATTCAGGCTTGTTTGCTTCAGATCTGCTCTTCTCTTAATTCTGTCTCTATCTTAATCAGAAGGAAGGTCCTCTATCAGGGGAGGCCATCATCTTGTATCAATGGCACAGATTTGAAAGGAGCATTCATAAGCCAATGAAGGGATACCCACCTAGCCAGCCCAATTGCACCTCGTCACCGATGGAAGAGCAAGTGTAGTAATCAGAGTGTGTCTAATTCCAGTATATTTGCATTCTTTTTCTCAAAAGTTCAAACTTTGCTTCTCATAAGATGCATTCAATTTATTGATAAGCACAGTCTCTTCACCATTATGACCTAATTATATCGGATCCCATTAACATAAAGGAAAGATGTGAATGCACAAGAGAGAGTGGCAGATTTGGGAAGTAAAGAAGGAAGGCATCAAAAATAGACATAAAAGGTTTTTTGAACACATGTATAGTCTCCAGATAGCCAGCAAAGATATTAATATTTTTATATCATTCATTATTGGTCTTTGCTGCTGCTTCTTATCCTCCACCAAGGTAACTTGAGATTTGACTACCCATCCATGTTTATAGCTTAGTGTTAGAATCACATGCTTGGGTTAGATACATTTTAATATTTTTTTCTCTGTGCAGTCTTTAACACCTCTGTGTGAAGATGACAACCAGGCCCAGGAAATCATTAAGAAGCTGGAGAAGGGCATAACATTCCTTAGTCAGTGCACAGTACGAATGGCCAGTAGGGCCGAGATGTTGGGAGCCATTAATCAGGTAACCTATCTCATTTTCTTTAGTTACAATGAAATTAAACTAAAAGGATTTGTTTTCTCTCAATTTATGGATTACAATTCTAGGAAGAAGTTTTAAAAAGTACTTCATTATTGTATGACATACATGTTTAATGTAGGAAAAATAGAAAATGGATTATACAAATAAAAATGTAAAGAAAAATCACTTGTTAGCCAGTGACAATCATTATAAAAATTTTATTATATATCCTTCTAGACACTCTGTCTTGAGAGAAAGATAGATAGGTAGATAGACAGACAGATAGCTGTTGTTGACACCAGCTCATAGCAACCTTTTGACAACAGAAAGAAATGTTACCCAGGCCTGTGTCATACTCATTACAGCTGTACTGTTCAAGTTCATCATTGTGGTTACTCCCTCCATACAAAGTTATAATCTACTGCTTTTTTATTCAACAGATAGCATGGACAACTTTCTATATGATACAAATATATACACATATATCATCATTTCATGGTATTCTGTTAGTTGGATAGATCATAAATTATTTAACCAACTCCCTAGAGTTGATCATTTTAAGATGTTCTTGACATTTTGATATTATAAACAATGCTACAATAAAAATCCTTATACATTCATCTTTGCACACTTGTTCTTAGAGAAGTGAAATTTCAAAATTTCTTCTTGGGCAAATCTGTAGAAACTTGAATTTTTAAAATATATACCTAAGTGAACTTGTTGAATATGATATTTTCCTAAGACATTTAATTGTGGTGGTAGTTTTAGTCTGATCATTTGTTATACATTTTTTAGTATCCTAGCTCCTTTTTCACCTTTCATTAATGAATAATAATATTCTTTTTTATTTTTTGGCTTGTTTTTTAATTGTACTTCAGGTGAAGTTTTAAAGAGCAAATATTTTCTCATTAAAGAGTCAGCACACATATTGTTTTATGACATTGGATAACAACCCCACGACATGTCAACCCTCTCCCTTCTCGACCTTTTTTTTTTTCTTTCTTGGTGAAAATATACATAGCCAAAGATACACCATTTCAAAAATTTCTACATGCACAGTTCAGTGACATCAATTATGTTCTCCCAGTTGTGCTGCTATTCTCACTTTAGATGAAGGTTTATGGAACAAAATAGTTTCTCATTAAACAGTTAGTACACATATTGTTTTTGTTTTTATTTTTATTAAAATTATGAATGTACATAGTTTTAAAGTCAAGTAGTTGTAAGTCTTATTATCCCATTTCCCCTGTTCCAGAGCAACAGTTTTTAACTCTTCTGATTTGTTGGATTGTTTGTTTCTTTGTATTTACATCTATATCTCTAAATAATATGCTTACACTTCCATATAGTGATTTATTTTCAGTATTAGGCATTATCTATTGTTTTCCAAATACAAAGATGAATATTTCATTCTCGATCAATCTCTGCTCCCATACACCTTTTTCATGGTCCTCATCCTGTTTTCCTCTCTTTTTTCTTTGCCAACAAGCTTAAATTCCGTGGTCAAACACAGCATTAGCTCCCTTGCATGTACCCTCAACACCTTCGCTCTTGTTTTATTTTACTCATTTGGCAAATCTACAACCCAAGTTAAATTCACTTCATCTGCTCTGTGCCTGCTTGTTTGGAAAGCAGAATCACACCCCTGTGCTGACTGAGCTCTCTTTAAATTCATCATCACAAACCTCAGGTGGGTTGTTGATGGCTTCCCATCATTTACCCTCCCTCTCTGCTAAATATCTATTTCAGACCTCCTCCTTGCTTCTCAAACCACCATCATCACCTCTCCCGTCTTGTCTGTCAACTGGTGACTCGCTTCCTACCTCCCTGAGAAAAATGAAGCAATCAGAAGAAAACTGTCATAAACTCTGAACCCACTAGTACCTGAATCCTTCCTTCCTGTTACTAACAATGAGTTATCCCAACCTTTTCTAAGGGCAACCATTCCACCTCTATATGAGGTTCCCTTCCCCTATAACTCTCTCAGGAATTTGGGCCCCAGTTCTCCCCTCTCTCCTCCATCTTCGATTTTTCCCACTCTACTGAATCATTCCCATATGCACACAAATACACTGTTGTTTCTAAGATGCAAAAAGTAACATAAAACAAACAAAAACAAAAAAACCTTTGTTGACCTTTTCTCCACTGGCTACCACCCTGCTTCTCTGTTCCTATTTATAGCAAAGAATTGTACTCACTGTCTCCCATCCATCTTATCGCAGTCTCTCGTAAACCATGCTAATTACCCTTTTGCCTCTACAAAACTAATTTTACCTATGCACCAATGACGTCCACATTACCAAATTCAGTTTCTCAGTCCTCATCTTCCTTAACCTACCTGCTGCATTGACAAGGCTGAGCTCTTCCTCCTCCCAGAAACACACTCTTCACTTGGCTTCTGCACCATGTTCCCTGGTTTTTCTCTGTATGTCATCGACAGCTCCTCCAGGCTCCTTTGTGGGTTTGACCCCTTCCCCCAGACCTCTTAGTATTGAGGGGCTCCAGCATTCCACCCTCTGATCTCTGTCTGCACTCAGTCCACATATGATTCTAGTTAGCTGAAGATTCCCAAATTCATCTTTAGCCTGGACCTCTTCCTTGTGTTCCAGACTAGAATAAACTACTGCCTACTCAACATTTCCACTTAGATATTTAATAAGCAACTTAAACTTAACATATCCAAAACTAAACTACTAGTGGTCTCTCCAAAACCAGCTTCACCCACAGTCTCCAAATGCAACTCAATTCTTCCAGTTGTTCAGGCCAAAAATTCTTGCGGGTAATTCTTAATACCTTTCTCTCATACCCCACATTAAATCCTACCAGCAAATCCTGTTGGCTCTACCATCAGAGTATATCCAGGATCCAACCACTGCTTTCCCTCTCCACTGCTACCACCTTGATCTAAGCCACCATTCTATATCTCCCAGATTAACCAACAGCTTCCTAACTGGTCTCCCTGCTTCAAATCTATCCTCCCTAGTCCCTCCCTCCAAAATAGTCTATTTTCAATATAGAACAGTCAGAGTGATTCTTTTAAAACTTAAGTCATATTATGTTAGTTTTTGGCTCAAAGCCTTCCATTGGCACCTCATTTACTCAGAGTAAAAGCCAAGTCCTTACAATGGCTTAAAGTTTCTCCATAATTCCCCTGCCCTCTTACCTCTTAGACTTTATCTCCCTTGACTGTCTCCCTCGATTATTCCATTCCAGCCACACTGGTATTCTTCCTGTTCCTCAAACACACTAGACGCAGTGCCACTTTTGGCCCCTAGCTCTAGCTCTTCCCTCAGCCTAGAATACTCTTCCTGCAAGTCTTTCACAGAAAGCCCTTCTTTGGCCATCCTATGTAAAACTTCAGCTGTTCCCACTCCAGAGCTTCTCATTCCCCCTTTTCCTCTTTGCTTTTGTTGTTTTTCATAGCACTAATCACCTGTATCATACTATATATTTTATTTATATTTGGTTTATTGTCTGTCTACTCCCACTAGAATATAAGCTCCATGAAGGAAAAGTATTTGTGTGGTTCACTGCTGTATTCCCCATGCTTAGAATGTACCTAATACATAGAAAGTGCTCAATAAATATCTGTTAGTAAGTGACTGAACGAGTAATATTAGCTAGATCGATATTTGGTGTTAACATTACTATGACCATGTAAATGTTGTTCACAGCAGACACAGTACAGTGGTCTATTTGACCTTTCCTTCTTTGCACTCTCCTAGAGTCTACTTCTCCCAATACATTCACACTCATTAGGTGTTTTGTCAACTTCATTTTCTTTGAGATGTTGCTTCTAGAGACTTCCCACCTGTTCCAATTGGGACTGATTGTTCTTTTGGTCCCTCGTAAGTCTTAAAAAAAAAAAACCCAAAACCAAACCCATTGCCTTCGATTCCAAGGAGTGGCTGGTGGATGTGAACTGCCGACCTTTTGCTTAGCAGCTGAATGCTTAACCACTGCACCACCAGGGCACTTTGGAAGCCTTAAGAACTCATTTAAATGGCGATTCCTTTCACTTCTCTCTTTAGTTGATCCATTTCCTGGATCCTATGTCTTCCTTTTTGCTGGTTTATTCATTTTGGTGGAGCATTATACCTAGCAGTTTCCTGAGAAAAAGGGTGTATGGGAGGTAAACTTTTTGAGATGTTGCACGACCGAAAATGTGTTTATCTTCATGCTTAATTGATATTCTGGCTAGGTGAAGGATTCTAGATTTAGAGATTGTTTCCCTTAGAATTTTCACTGCAATTCTTCATTTTTCTACTTAGCATTTGGTATTGCTACTGAAGTCTGATGCTATTTGACTCTTAAGGCTTTGTTTATAATCCTTTTACTTCTCAGAATCTTTTAATATAACTTATTTTCCTTACTACCCTCTTTTGCTCTGGGTTTATTTTCATCCACTGTTTTGGGCCTTAAGTAAGCATTTTAAAGCTAGCAAGTTATATCCTTCAGTTTGGAAATTTTCTTATTTCTTTTTTCTACATTTTCTGGCATTTTTCTGCATTTTCTATACTTTCTCAAATTCCCATTATTTGAATATTTTATCTCCTGAGCTGATCCTCTTTCATCTCTTTTCTGCGTCTTAGTCTTTTTGCTCTAGTTTCAAGGAAAGCTCCTCAACTTTATCTTGAAACTCTTCTACTGAATTTCTTTTTTCTGTTTTAAATTTCCAGAAGTTATTTTTTTAAGTTGTTGTTCTTCTCTAAATATTCCTTTTTAAAAATACCTTGTTCCTACTTCACGGATGCAAGAATTACTCTTAACTGTCTTAAGATGTGATAGTTTCCTGCAGACGGTTTCCTCCAGCTTGCTTCTTTCTGTGTTTTGTTCTTCATCTTTCATGCTAGAGACTTTCCTCCACTGTCTGATGATACAGCTGATTGGGAGCTCTATGCGCGTTGGATGAGGCCGGTTCTTGTTGACTCTGAGCTTCACACATGCTAAGATGTTCCATTGGGGTACACTTAAAGTCAGTGCTTTTATGATTTTATCTTGGGATGTTAGCTTTCCTGGGGAAAATCTTCCACCTGCCTGCCCTGAGAGTATAAGCCTAGATGCCAGTATTTGGGAGCTGCAAGGAAGAATAAGGCTGGGAGATCTCAATCTTCAGAATGTATACAAACTTTTACTTAAATCTGTTGTTTTCAGTATGGTACACTCACCATCAACTATCTGGTATTTCCCAAGGTACAGACCCTCTGTTTAACTCTTTCCAGAAGTACAGTATTTTATCAGTGTGGTAGAAGGGAAGTTGCTTTGCTAGGGGGCAGTGTAAGGGAGGAGATCTGTGGATCTAATTGCTTTTTACACACACTTTCAACCAGTTGTCTGTTCACACACTCACCCTCAAGCTTACTTCTAGAGGTATTTGTGCCATTTCTTGAGCTTTGGGATTTTCTGTACTGCAATCCAGGTTGCTTCTATAGGCTCTCCTTACTGCCTTTTTCAGGGTTTAGGGTTTTCAAGTCTTCTAAGTCATTTATCATTAGTCCTATCCAGCTTTCAAAATGTTATTGCTATTATATTCTCTACTGTTCTATTTGCCCTTGCAGACTCATGGATTTTTAAAAATACCATTAATTGTCATTTTAGTGGGATTTTAGAATGGAGTGATGGTAAATGTATGTGTTTAATCAGCATCTTTAACTGGATATTGAGATAGTATTTTCAATGTAAACTTGTTCTTTTTTTTTTTCCCCTACTAGGAAAGCCGGGTTAGTAAAGCAGTTGAAGTGATGATTCAGCATGTAGAAAACCTGAAGAGAATGTATGCCAAAGAGCATGCTGAATTAGAAGAACTGAAACAGGTTCTTTTGCAGAATGAAAGATCTTTTAACCCTCTTGGAGATGAAGGTAATAGATAAAAGTTTAAGATAACAGTATCAATCAGGTTTTTCTAACATTTTCATTTTACCTCTCTTTAAACCATATTGTATCTTTAATATAAGACCCTTAGATTAAGGTTATATTAGAATAATAACTCATTGCTATTATTTATATAACCAAAAGAAAGATGTCAGAAAACAGGCTGGGAGACAAGAAGGATTTATTGATAATGACACCAAAAATGCACTATATCAATTTAGATTGCTGAGATAAGAGAATATATTTAATCCAGTTCATTAAGTTGACCCTCCTGTTGCCGCCGAGTCTGTTCAGGCTCATGGTAACCCCATATGTTAGAGTAGAACTGAGCTCCATAGATTTTTTTGGCTTTAATCATTATAGAAACAGATCAACAGGCCCTTCTTCCATGGCTCCACTGGGTGGGTTTGAACCACCAACCTCTTGGTTGGTAGCCAAGAACAAACTGTGCCACCCAGGGACCTAAGCTGACCCTAGTGTTTCTCTGTTTAGGATATGTTAGGATTAGTTCTTCCTCCACACGTAAAGTGAGGTGGAATAACTTAAATAAACCATTCTCATCAATGATGGTTTTGTATTCCTCAAAGCAGGGATAACTTTGGCGCAGTAAACTGAATGGATTGAAAAATAGGGAGACATTATGAGGCCATGGAAGATATCATAAAGTTTATACAAATCTTACAATAGTTTTATGTTAAATAAACAGTACAAATTTTTCTGACAGAATTCTTATTTTAATGAACTCTTCCTTCTTCTGGAAAAGTAAACATATTAGATACTCTTCTGATCTGTATTTTGAGATTCATTAATTCAGCAGACATCATTTAGTGTCTACTATGTGCTATAGGGTCACTATGAGTTGGAATTGACTTGACGGCAACGGGTTTGGGGTTTTGTTTTTCGTTTTTTGGTATGTACTAGGTAAAAGGAGCCCTGGTGGCATGGTGGTTAAGCACTCAGCTGCTAACCGAAAGGTCGGTGGTTCGAACTCACCAGCTGCTCTGCAGGAAAAAGATGTGGCAGTCTACTTCTGTAAAGACTTACAGTTTTTGAAACCCTATGGGGCAGTTCTATTCTGTCCTATAGGGTCACTATGAGTCAGAATCAACGTGACAGCAACAGGTTTAGTTTTTGGTTGTTTATGTGCTAGGTAGGCCTTGTGGACATCTACAGCAACAAAGAGTATTGTTTTTCAATGGTTAAGATGGCAATTGTTATAATCACAAATGATAAGCAGATATTACATTGCTCAGTAGTCTCTAGGGTCTTAAATAAGACTTTTCTGGTCACTGCGTTTTTTTTCTAAAGGATTAAGATCATTCCTTTAACATAAATTACATATGTAATTTGTACAATGTGTTTTTCCCTTCAGGTGACTGCCAAATTAAAAAACGTTCAGCTTCTCTAAACTCCAAGGTAATTATTAATTCCCTCTTTAATTCATTTAACAAATGTCTATCAAATGTTTATAAGATGGTTTTTAAAATATTTGAAGCTACATGGTTTTAAATGTAAATAACAAAACAAGTGATTTTAATTATTTATGTGTGTATGAGGAGCCTGGTGGTGCAGCAGTTAAGAACTCATCTGCTAACCAAAAAGGCTGGCAGTTCGAATCCACCAGCCACTCCTTGGAAACCCTATAGGGCAGTTCTCCTCTCATAGGGTCACTATGAGTCGGAATCGACTCAACGGCAATGGATTTTGTGTGTATGTATATCTGTGTGTGTATTTATATTTGTATATGTATGCTTTTATACTTCCTGCTATATCATTGTATTAATTAAGTCTGCCTGCCAGTGTCAGGAAAGCCATTATGACAATAGTGTATTTCTTTCTCATGTAAAACAAAAGTTGGAAATAGGCAGTCCAGTGATGGTAGAGTAGCTTCATCAGATCCCTAGGGACCAGGCCCCGCCTCTCTTCCTATTCCATCACCCTCAGCTTTTGGCTTCCACTTCATGGTCTAAGATGGCTACTTCAGATGTGGCTCCAAGTCCACCTTGTTACATCCAGTCCAACAAGAAAGAAGCAAAAAGAGGTGTTTCCTCTCTCTCTAGAGACACTTAATGAATGTCCCACATAACATTTCCCTTTTCTTCCTTGGCTCCACATAAGATTGGGAATAGTTTTTATTCTGGAGGCCACGAGCCTAGCTAAAAGTCACGGGGTTTGTTTCTGAATGAAAAGGGGGAAAATGACATATTGAAGGTCAACCAGCAATCTCTGCCATAGTTTGAAAATCAAGATTTCACAGATTTACAGAATTTTTGAGCAAGTGACTTTACAGTCATTCCATCCACCAAACCCAAAACCAAACACACTGCCATCTAGTCAATTGCAACTCATAGTGACCCTATAGGACAGAGTAGAACTGCCCCATAAGGTTTCCCAGGCTGTAAATCTTTATGGAAGCAGACTAACACATCTTTCTCCCATGCAGTGGCTAGTGGGTTTGAACGACCGACCTTTTGATTAGCAGCCAAGCGCTTTAACCACTGTACCACCAGGGCTCCTCATTCCATCCAAATCCCTCTTTTTCACAGACAAGGAAAACAGGAAAGCACAGAAGTTAAGTGATTAGTCATGATCATGTAGAGGAAGAACCCACGTTTCTTAGACCCCAATTAGAAATTCTGGATGCTCTATAACATATGAAGTTAGGGATGGTGGTTTAAGAAAAAGGTTCACCATAAAAGTACTTTAAATTAGTACATGTACTACATTTAAAAGTTTTTATATCCTGAAGTTGTTCTTATTTAAACTTTAAGAACCACATAATACTACATAACATTTTTCTGTGTAAAGCCTACGTCTGATATATAAAAACATCCATGCATTAAAATATCAGGCACATCCTTAAATGAAAAAAAACAAAAAAAACTAAACCATGAAAAAAAGAAAGGCTACAAATATGGGTGCATAATTTATCACCTCTTGAGTTGGGAAAAACCTTTCTAAGCAGAAAAGCAATGATAGCAAAAGGAAAAAAAAAAGATGAATAGATTTGGCAGCATTAACAATAAAAAACTTTTCTGCCACAAATATGAAAAAAATAATATGAACACAGGACATAAATAGGTGGTTCTTAGAGTAGAAATACACATGGTTATTCAAGATAGAAAAACAATGTTCAATGATACTAGAAGTCAAAACATGAAACTATATAATCCTTGTTTGATAGGCAAAAATTACAATAATCCAATGTTGGGGAAGGTAGAATATTCTAGAAGGCAATTTGACCATAGCAAAAGCCCTTAAACTGTTCCCATTGTTTACTCAGCAGTGGACAAGTGCATAGTTGTGTGTGTACAGTATGTTCATCAGTGTTGCATACAAGAATAAAACACTGAAAATTTTCTAAATGTACCTTTTCCTCCTTCATGTAGCCATCTTCTCTTCGAAGAGTAAGCATTGTCTCTCTGCCTAGAAATACTGGAAATGTAGGAACGGTAAGCAAATTCCTAAGCATTTTTAATAAAAAGTATATTCATTTTCAGGTGACAAAAATATGAACTTACCCTACTAAATTCATATTTTATCATTTCTTTAACATCTGAACTTCTGAAGATGGCTGGGATGGAAAACAATGACCGATTCAGTCGGAGGTCAAGCAGTTGGTAAGTGTAATTTTATAATTGCTTTTTTAGAACCTCACTATTTTATAATTGGGCTAACATAAATGAGCATTTGAAATAAGTGATACAGTAACATTTGATTTGTACAGAGTATAAACAGAATAAATATTTTTTTAATGCATATATTATTGTGGGGTTGTTTTATTATGAAACAAGTTGTGACTGTGCCAAGAAATTAATTATAACATAAAATTTTTATATTAATTTAAGCAATAGGAAATAAATTGATAATGGCTAAAGATACATTTTATTTAACAAGTGGATATAATCATCTTTATTTAGGCGTATTTTGGGGTCAAAGCAGAGTGAACACCGTCCCTCACTATGTCGATTTATTAGCACCTATTCCTGGGCAGATGCTGAAGAAGAAAAATGTGAAGTAAAGTAAGTAAAGCTTGGCGTGCTTATTAACCTGACATGAACCACGGCATAAACAGTGGGGCCATATTTATTCAGAGATGAGATCAATGCTGCATCATCAAAAAAGATAATTCATTGTGAAAGACTTTTTATAAACTATAAAGCACTATGGAGCCCTGGTGGCACAGTGGGTAAGGGCTCAGCTGCTAACCAAAAGGTCAGCAGTTCAAATCCACTAGCTGCCCCTTGGAAACCCTATGGGGCAGTTCTACTCTGTCCTATAGGGTTGCTATGAGTTGGAATTGACTCAACGACAGTGGGTTTTGGCATAAAACACTATATAAGTATTATTTGTGGATACATTCACTCTTGTAGCACTCATCTGCAAGGTTAGAGTCCTGAGTTAGAAAAGACCCTGGAATTTGCCAGACTTGCAAAGATACTTGTCTCCTGAATAGGTATCTGGCCCTCAGGAGGAAAGGTCAATAAAAAGCCACAGAAAAAAAATAGTTCATTAACTTAGAGTTGTTTTTTTTTAAGAAATATATGTGTAACATATATGTATAGATGTGCATATATGTAACATATATGTATTGTGTATACATCTTTCATTTATGTAAATCAAGAGTCAGAGAAACATAAAACTTTAGCAAATTAAACAAACGAATAAAATATGGCACAGTGGTAAAGGGCTCCCCCGCTAACTGAAAAGTTGGTAGTTCAAACCTACCAGCTGCTCCATGGGAGAAAGATGTTGCAGTCTGCTTCCATAGAGATTTACAGCCTTGGAAAACCTAAGGGGCAGTTCTACTCTTACATAGTCATTATGAGTTGGAATCAACTTGACAGCAATGGGTTTGGTTTGTTTTCTTTTTTTTTTTTTGAAAGGTAGAGGGCAAGAATGAGGGGCATGAAGAAATGCTGCCTTTGAGTCATGTCATTGGACAACCTTGGGCAAATTGCTTAATCTTGTGCGGTGTCAGTTTCCTCATCTGTACAATTTAGAGATTTTAGTATGCTCAATCCTAAGGGATATAAAGATTAGAAGACACAGTACCTACTCTCAAAGAGTCCATGTTTTTGTTTTCGTTTTTTAATAATTCTGGGAGCCTATTTGTCTTAGTTATCTAGTGCTGCTGTAACAGAAATACCACAGTGGGTGGCTTTAACAAACAGAAATTTATTTTCTCACAATTTAGGAGGCTAGAAGTCCAAATTCAGGGTGCCAGCTTTCTCTCTCTTTTGGGCCTGGGGCAAGGTCCCTGTCTCCATTCAGCTTCTGTGCCTCAGTTCCTTGGCAATCTTCATGTGGCCTGGCATCTATCACCCCTTATCTCTGCTTGCTTCTCTGTGCCTAATCTGCTCATTTTTTATCTGAAAGATGATTGGCTTAAAACATACCCTACACAGATATAACCTTACTAACTAACAAGGAAAATACTATTCCCAAATGGGATTACATCCACAAGTATAGGGGTTATGATTTACAGTACATATTTTTGGGGACACAATTCAATCCATAACATTCTACCCTTTGGCCCCCCAAATTCATGTCCTTTGTACATGCAAAATACAATCTCATCTTCTGAATCATCTAAATCAAATGTGTGTGAGACTTTAGGTGCATTCCATCCTGGGGCAAAGTTTCCCATCATCTCTGAACCTGTGAAATCTAGAGTACAAGTTATCTGCTTCCCAAGTACAATGGTGGGACAGGCACAAAGTAGACATTTCTATTACAAATAGGAGAAATTGGAAGAAGGGTTCATGGGCACCAAGCAAGTTCAAAACTCAGCAAAACAAATTACATTAGCTCTAAAGGCTTGAAAACAATTATGTTCTCCCAGACCATCTAGGCAATGGCCCCGCCTGCCAGACTCTTGGTGTTGGCTATGCTCTCTGGATTCTGCCCTACCTTCCAGGCCCAGTGGGACAGCAAATCTGCTCCTTTGGCTTTGGGTAGACCCATTCTCCTAGTCCATTTCAGTGGTGACCCCACACCTTTGGCTCTGGCAAGCTCCATTCTTCTGTCCCTTGGACATGGCAACCCTGCCCCCTCAGCTTTGGGTGGCAGCCCCATCCTCTTGGCACACATGAATGGCAGCCCCACATTCTGGAACTGAGTTGGTGGAGATCTGACTCTTTGAAACCCAGGAGGCTGTAACTCCACTCTTTGAAATCTAGGAGGCCATGGCTCTACCCTTTGAAACTCAGGATGCATGGTTATACCCTTTGATACCTAGGAGACTGTGGCTCCACCCTTGGAAACCAAGATAGCCCTGTTTCCTGTGCTCCTTTCAACAGTTCTGCTGATCTCTGAACTGATCCAGGGACGGTCCTTTTCTTTTCTTGGTGAACAAAAGATATTGCTCCTTTGTCCTGTTTCCTGCCTGTAGAATTCCAAGAGGCAGGCAGCTTTTTTTCCTGTGGTCTTGTCTCTGTCCCCTTCAGTGTAAGCTGATGGGTTTTCTTCTGCAGTGGTTGGTTAGATCCATCAGGCTTAATTTTTTAAATAAAAGATTATGTAGCCACATCCTTGATGTCCTGAGTTTGTACAACAGAATTTTCCAAATCTTTAAGTTCTGTTTTTGTTTTGAACAGCTCATTTTTAAGGCAATCTCTTTCCTCTCACATTTTACTATAAACAACAAGGAGAAACCATGATGCCTCTTTAAGATCTTGCTTAGAAATCTCCTCAGCCAAATTACCAAGTTCATCACTTACAAGTTCCACTTTCCACCAAACAGTTGAACATAATTTATACAAGTTCTTTGTCACTGTATAAAAAGCATTGCCTTTCCTTCATTGTCCAATCACATATTCATCATTTCCTCTTAAAGCCTCACCAGAATCACATTTAATATCCACGTGTCTAGCAACATTCTGTTGATGGTGCCATACATGTAAGACAATAGAGACTTTCTCTCTGGCTCTCCTCCCTTCCTTTTAAGCCTTCATCCATAATTCCACCAACAGTCTCTTCAAGGCAATCTAGGCTTTTACTATTAGGCACCTTAAAACTCTTCCAGCCTCCACCCATTACCCAATTCCAAAACCACTTCCACAGTTTGGGTATTTGTTAGAGCGGCACCCTATTCTTGGTACCAAGTTCTGTCTTAGTTATCTAGTGCTGCTTTAACAGAAATACCACAAGTAGGTGGCTTTAACAAATAGATTTTCTCACAGCTTAGGAGGCTAGAAGTCTAAATTCAAGGTGCTGGCTCTAGAGGAAGGCTTCCTGTCTCCATTGGCTCTGAGGGAAGGTCCTTGTCTCTTTTCAGCTTCTGTGCCTCAGTCCTTGGCAGTCTTCACGTGGCCTGGCATCTATCACCCCCCATCTGTGCTTGCTTCTCTGTGCCTAATCTGCTCATTTTGTATCTCAAAGGTGATTGGCTTAAGACACACCCTACACTGCTATGGCCTCATTAACTAACAAAGAAAATGCCATTCCCAAAGGGGATTACATCCACAAGTATAGAGGTTAGGATTTACAACACATATTTTGGGGGGACACAATTCAGTCCATAACAGTGATAACGAAACAGGATTTTGAACTGGTTCTTCCCAGTTCAGTCATGTCCAAGGAAGCAAAAACGGAAAGACCTGAATTTTTAAAATTTGGGTGAACTGGAACAATAACTGGAATGGTAAAAATTACGGATCAAAGCCCTGCTAGAAACTTACTCTCCCTCTTAGAAAACAAGGGCAGCATATGCGCTGCATATCAACCAAATCTCTTGCCAGTCAGATTTTGAGCAGAGTTGGAAACAGCAGTGCCCTCCTGAAAGACAGCAGCCAACCACACTGCTTAGAATGTGTGTTGCTCTCCACAGTCCTGCCAATAATCCAGTCTCACACATCAGGCTCCTGAAAAGGCTCACTACACGTCTTCCAAGTCTCCCATTTGAGGGCTTTGACCAGTAATTTTTCCCATTCCAGTTATCGTTCCAAATCACCCAAATTGTAACAATTCGTGTCTGTTCCAGTTTCACTGCATTGGCCATGACTGAACTGGTTCAAACCAGTGTGAAGCCCTGTAATGAAACAATTAAGTTTTGTTCAGGTGGAGGGAACTCTCTGTAAATGACACAATTTTATTCAAAATACAGTCAATCCAATTGCTATACCCCAGCTCAGTGAATACTAGATTGTTTTAACTATCTTTACACTGAGAATACTTTGATAAAGATTTTCCAAATTATTGAGATTTTTAGAGGAAGAGAAGAAATGACTTTTCAGGTTACTCCACACTAGCATTAATCAAAACTCCTACAAAGGAAAAAGTAGAATCAACTGTTAATAGAATGTGAAAAAATGACATGGTAGAAGAATATTTAAAAATGATATTGATGATGACAAGTTTTATTATATATTGAATGAAAAAAATATAAAAGAGGAAGAAATATGGCATCCAAATTTATTTTTTAAAGTGTGGTTAAATACATATATAGGAAGTCCCTGGGTTAAGAACGTCTGGCTTACGGACAACTCGTACTTAAGAACAGACTGCCATAAAGCCTATTATGTTAAAATTCTGAATTAAATACAATGGTTTATAATTACAAATGCACGCACACACGTACTTTGTAACACTCATGAAAATATTTAACGGCTTTAGCGGTTTGCTGGATCACATTGCTGTTAACACTCTGTTGAGTGTGTAATTTTGTATTTGTTCTGACTTACCTACAAATTCCACTTAAAGACAGACTTAGGAATGGTACTCATTCATAACCCGGGGACTGCTTGTATATGCAGAGAAAGAGATCACAATATTAACATTGGTTAACTGTAAGGGGTGAGACTGATAAACTTTTTATATGTTCTTTGTATATTTCACCAATTTTCTACAACCTTTATTTCTTCTTTGGCTCGTATCCCAACTTTCTACAACAAACATTTATTATTTTTCCAAATAGAAGAATTCTTATTTAAATAAAATTCCTGTAAATGGTTAAAAATATAAATTTGGTCATTTGATTTTTAGAAATAAATATCAAATCTTCCTGAAGCAAAACAAGTATTTGTGAGCCTCTTGAGTTATATACCTTTATCCTTAATTTCAAATATTTAAAAATAAGATTTATTTACAGAACTAAAGACAACTCAGAACCACCTGGAGAAGAAACAGTAGAAAGGACAAGGAAGCCAAGTCTCTCTGAAAAGAGAAATGATCCATCAAAATGGGATGGTTCTTCAATGTAAGTTGTCCATTTGCTAAATGATACATAGTATTTTGGTAGAAATGAGGAAAGGTAAGGCAGGGTTAACAGTATTAGTATTAATCAAATTATTTTACTAAAAGATCTATCAAACTGTCTTAAGATGAATAGCAAACTTGTTGTGGTCTGCAATAGCTATCCCTGAAGCTATGTTACAAGAGGCAGGAGAGTTTACAGTGTTAGGATCTTGGCTCTGGAGACAGATGGCCTAGGCTTAAATTCCAGCTCTCTAACTAGCTATGAGGAGTCCTGGTGGTGCAGTGGTTAAGCACTCAGCTGCTAACCGAAAAGTCAGCAGTTCGAACCCACCAGCTGCTCTGTGGAAGAAAAGACCTGGTAATCTCCCATAAAGATTACAGCCTAAGAAACCTTATGGGACAGTTCTGCTCTGTCTTATAGGATTGCTATGAGTTGGAATCGACTCAAGGGCACACAGCAACAACTAGGTGTGAGGAGTCCTTGGGAAGCACAAACAGTTAAGAGCTTGACTACTAACCAAAAGGTTGGCAGTTCAAACAGACCCAAAGGTACCTTGGTAGAAAGGCCTGGTGATCTGCTTCTAAAAGGTCACAGCTATGAAAACCCTATGGAGTACAGTTTTATTCTGAAACACGTAGAGTTGCCAAGAGTCAGAATCGACTTGATGGCAACTGTTTTTTTGTTCTTTCAACTAGTTACGCGATACAGGCAAGTTCATCCATTACTGAGCACCAGTTATCATCTATTAGATAATGGTAACAGTATTTATGTCACTGTATTGTCATGATTAAATGAATCAGCACATGTAAAGTGCTGAGTACAGTGTCTAGCACCGAGTTAACTATTTTCAAAGACCTAAATGATGCTGTAATAAGCTTTTTTGTGGGTGTTTCTAAAGGAAATAGAGTTTAAATTTCAGCACAGGAAAGCACAGGTTATGGTGAGAAATAAGTGACATGCTTATACACACATATATATGTATATACACACATATCCTACTCTACCCAGTACATGGCAGTGTAGTGGTTAAGAGCTACAGCTGCTAACCAAAAGGTTCGCAGTTCATACCTACCAAGCGCTCCTTGGAAATTCTATGAGGCAGTTCTACTCTGTCCTATAGGGTCACTATGAGTTGGAATCGACTCAAAGGCAATGGGTTTTTTCGGGGGGGTTTACCCAGTAAATAATATTTCCAGTTGCACTATAAGAATGTAAGTTGCCTTACCTGGTTGAAAGAATGAGATAAATATTGGAATGTACTAGCTAGGAGTGAAATAATGCCTAAACCACATTATTTTCAGATTCTCATCATAGTACATCATTTCTTTAATTCTAATAATTATTGGGGGCGGGGGGAGGGCAGACTGTGGCCACAGCCAAGATCGTAACATGCAGTTCAGTATAAGTAGTGTTGGTGGTAGGTAGGGCACATCAACAACTTGATTGTAGCGTTAGCAAAAGGAGTGTGTCTAATAACAAATTATTGGGATCACCAAATTCTGTATTTGTATTTTCCTTATAGTTATGGCACAATAGCTTCCTGGGCAACAAATCTCAAGACTTCCTTCAGAAAAGCTAATAAGGCACTCTGGATTTCTGCTGCATTCACTGTACTGTTTGCAGCTTTGATGAGCTTCCTCACAGGCTTATTTTTCCAAAAGCCCGTGGATGCCACTCCCACACAGAGTGGGGACTCCTGGATGTCTCTAGAACATGCCTTGTGGCCTTTTACCAGACTCCAACACAATGGGCCACCACCAGTGTGACTGCAGCACATCTTAACATGTGCACTTTGATTTCTAAAATTTCGGTATCTGAACTCTGTAAACTAGTAACTTTTAGCTGAGGAAGGATAGCATGGAACCAGAAGTTCTCAGCACAACTGTAAACTATTTTACATTCCTTTCTTTCTGCCATTCCCTCTCCAACTGAAATACAGTGGGAAGGACACCTGCCTATGATCGTTTAATGAGCTTTTCAAGGAAGAAATATTATATATTGTTTTCTTTGTTAAAATTTATTGAAATAAAGATGCATTCAAGTCTTCATACAGTGAGAGCTGAAATTCTCAGTAGGCCAAGTATAATCAGTAGGGAAATAAAACACATTGTTTAAAGTAAAATTTGAGTGTAAAATGCGGATTAGATAATTTCAATAGCTATTTGAAATATATTCACTTGTTATACTTTATCGAAGAAACACCTGATTTTTTTTTTTTTCAAATTGCTTGATTCTTCAGATTTATCCGTGGGGATTAAGAATAGCTGAGTAATCTAGTAGAAAGTAGCATCTGGCATACACAATCAACAAACTGGCAATTGGAACTTCTAATTTTCTCTATCGCGTCTCCAGAAGCAAAGTCCTTAACCATGTGATAGAGAGTCGAGTGAAACTCGGTTTCCTCTTGAAGTGCTTCAGAGAATGTCTCACTGTATTCACTGATCTTCAGTCTTTGTGCTCTGTCACCACTAAACATTAAAAGGGCCCAATCAGGATATTCAGTATCAAGTTCTTGGTTAAGGTGTTCCTTTACCTGAGGGAAAAAACATTAGAAAAAGCTGGTAACAGTTCACTTCTATTAGGTATTATGGTAGTAAAGTATCATTTAAAGGGCTCAACTCAGTTCCCACAACCGCTAAAGTGAAAAAAAAAATTTTTTTTTATTATGGTAAAAATATATATAACAAAACATTTCCCACTGCAGCATTCTTCACATGTACAGTTCAGTGACATTAATTCCGTTCATCATGCTGTGCAGCCATCACCGCTAAAGAAACATTCTGAATGTCCCATTATTAATTTTTTTTTTAACCATGAAACTAGATATCTTGGTGCATATGGAGTTTATCTACATGTATTCATTCATTCAACAAATACGTATTGAAAACCTGTCGTGTGCCAGTCACTGTTCTATATGCTGGGGGTCTAAGAGTGAAATAAAACAGACAGAAAAAAACAACCAAAATATGCTAATAAAAAAATAACAACAAAATACGGTCTTTAAGGCACTTATATTCTAGACGGGAAAACAGACAAAAACAAAATAAATAATATGGTAGCTCGTTCATACAAAAACATCCACCAGTCAGCTTTTAGAATTTGATACTTTCTTTACCAGGAAGTAGTGCATGTGTCAGAAATCAGTGTTGGAGGCAAAAGTTTGTGAATTATAGATGTATTCACATCAAAGGCTTCCATTTATTCTTGTGTCAGTGTAAAGAGACACAGGACTCTGGCCTGAAGTCAAGAACATTTGATACCATCATGGACAATGAAGGCATAAAAGTTTGGTTTTATATTTTGACAAACTGAAAATATTTGAAGTTTGCAAATAATATTTTGAATGTTAGTTTTTTTTTCACCTTTTTAAGAGGGGAACCCATGATTTACATTAATTTTTGCTTTTGATACCCTTATCTTCTCTTGGAGGACAAAGGAGTTTGTGGGATTTTGCATACTATACCTGAAAAACAACTTTGCTAGAACCACAACTTATATTCCACTTGCTCCAACTAAACGCAAAAGCAGAACTTAGCAGGGCCATTTGTCGATAAGCTTTTAATTCTACCAAAGCAGCCTGTCAGTATAAAAACAAGTAGAATTGTTGATAGAGCCTCCTAACGAGTATCCCTTCCATCATTGCCCTCCTACAGTTTATTCTTAACTTAGAAGGATCCATTTAAAATGCTAGGAGAATTGCATGCCTCTTCTCTCAAAACCCAGCAATGGTTTTCCCTTTCAAAGTAGAATCCAAAGTCTTAACAATGTTCCAAGGACCTCCCTGATCTGATCCCACCCCCGAAAACATACACACATCTGCCTCAATACCTCCCTAACCTCATCTCCTCTTCTCCCTTTGCTTTCTTACTTAGCTCCAGGTGCCCTGACCTCCTTGCTGTTCAATCCTCAAACACACGAGGCCACTTTCTCAGGGCTCTGCTGCAGCTCATCTCTATATGTAAGCTGCTCCTCCCGATCCACTTGGCTAAATCCCCCACCCTCAAGTTTTGCTCAAATCTTTCTTACCTTTTCACTGAAGCCCCTCATATCCCATGCAATATTGTAAGGTACCCCAGCCCCACTATACCTGACCTATCTTTTCTATTCCTTAGCACTTATCACCTTTTAACATAGTAGATAATTTATTTTTTATGCTTATTTCTGCCTCCCTCTACTAGAATGTAAGCTTCTCAAGGGCAGGGATCTTTATTCACTGATGTATCCTAATCATCTAAAATAGTGCCTAGCATATAGGTGTTCAAAAATTATTTCTTAAATAGAAGAGTATTTTGAAAAGTACACCACATCCAGCATCTGTAGACTAAAAGGCAAATTGAGTTACTAAAACCAAAGTGTGTTTTCTCTTTCCTATGCATATATGTGCACAGCCTATCTATGTGATTATTTTCTAATGTTATATGAATGTCTACCTATATTGTTTTATCATTTTCTGGTATATTCATAAACATGTTATTTAAAAATGAATTAATAAGCATAAAAGTTAAACTTATTAAACACACACAAATAGGTAGATTGATAGTTTTTTTTGTTTGTTTTTTGGCTTAGAAAGCTTTTTATAAAATAGCCTAAGAGGTTCTTGAGTATAGAACTCTTCTGCTTACACAACACACCTTTCATGATTAGAAACTACTTTGTCTTCATTCACACATATCACAAATGTTTACTAAACATCTACTGTATTCCAGGAGTATGGTAGGTGCTAGAATAATCAAAATTGATTAAGAAACAACCCCTGTCCTCAAGCAGCTCACAGTTTAACATGGAAAGAGTTCATTCAACTAGACTTATGAGTAACATGAAGCAGTATGCAGATAAGGACGCAATGCCAAGAAACAGAAGGAAGTGGGTTTTTTGTATCAGTGGTACTTGTATGCATTTAATTTTGCCTGACTTGTCATGTTTGGGAAAGTGTGGAGTAATTTAGTCTTTTAAGAAACCTTACAGTCATCGAAGAAAATATACAAAATGAGAAGTTACTCAGACTACTTCTGCACTAAACTGACCAGTGATGGATATAGTCCAATTGTCAATATGAAGATCATACTACGGGCTTACTTTCCTTGGGAAGATTATTAAACTTGAGAGGACCCTGGATATAGTTTCTGGTCTTGTCTCTTATTTATTCCTTTCTTTCTTCCTGTAATCTTACATAAGTGAATAAATACATAAAACCCATGGTATACCTTAAGATTTATTTAAATGTTAATACTTAACATTCTAGATGACCACTACACTAAATTTGGAAAGATTCATTCTTGCCTTATTGTTTATTAAAACATAAAAATGAGAGTGTCCAGTAGGGAAGATATTCAATCCAACTTCTTTCAATGCAATAATGAAAGGAATAGGAGGCATCCATCTTCCTTTCAAAATAGACTCGTGCTCTTTGTTTTTTAGTTTGATTGAAGCTAACATGCAGAGGTTTTCCTAGTATCAACAAGAAAAAAAGAAGTTTTTATACAAGCAAGTTAAAGAAATTATTACTTTAGTATCATCCCAGATTCAGTCTTCTTGATCTTTACACTATTTTTTATTATGTGTCACCCTATATAAAAAAGCATGCAGGGCAAGTATATTTTAGGCCTAATCTTGAAGCTCTGCCATAAAGTCTCTGTGTTACCTTAAGCCGTTTATGCCATCGAATCAATTCTGACCCATACTGACCCTATGGCACAGAGTAGAACTGCCCCATAAGGGGTTTCAAGGCTGTAAATTTTTACAGAAGCAGACTGCCACATCTTTCTCCAGAGGAGCGGCTGGTGGCAAAGCTACCGCCGACCTTTTGGTTAGCAGCTTAACCTCTGTGCCACTAGGGCTCCTTAAACAGTTTACCTAACCCTTTTTTGGGTTTCTCAGGTCTCCAGTTTTATAACTTACGATCTAAGAATACTGCGTATGTTAATATTGATTTAAAGTAGCAATTTGATAGCAACAGTGACTGTAACTTTTAAGAATTATACTTTTAATTTTTTTTACACATCTAAGATTTAACATAATGATGCAAAATTATTATCCAATTTTAAAATTTGGCAAAGTGGCAATTTGAAGGTGTACAGAGTTCCCATCTTTCATCTGGTATTAAAAGTTATTTGGCAGTATTCCAGTCTTTTTGCTGTACTCTTAAGGAATTCCAGGCTATCTTATTTTTTAAACAATTTTATGGAGGTATATTTTACATATCATAAAATTCACTCATTTCAAGTGTACAATCCAATGACTTTGCCAAATGGTGCAATCATCACCATAAATCAGTTTCAGAACATATTCACCACCCCAATAGGATTCATTACGCCCATTTACAGTTAATCCCAAGCAACCACTGATCTACTTTCTGACTCTAAAATTTAAGGCTAGGTAATTTCTGATGGATGAGCAATAGAGGCTCATTCAGAGAGAGGCCAACCTCAAAGGGAATTTCAAATGGCTGGATGATAAAGATCAAGGAGTCTCTTTAGGGTGGATCAAAAACTCTGTGAAACTCATACTGCAATCAGGCTTGTAGCTTCATTATTTGATCTATCCCTAGTAACTTTAGAATACAAGTTTGAATCTTACCTCTTACATGTTATTGCCTATGTAATTATTCAATTTCTATTTCATTTAGAAATTGCAGTTAAGTGTACATTTTATAAGTATTTATAAAAGACATATTTCGAGATATAAATCAGCAGTGTTTTATTGCTTTGATACACTCTCATATCCATCAAAGAGATTTATATGACTTTGATATAACAGTAATTCACCTTAATTTGAATTTGAAGCTCAGTAAACACTGTAGTCACAGTCAAAAGTACTTTATTCACTGCAAGTGGTCTTAGTTCCCATGACTGGTAAGGCATGTTAATATGAGCATCTTGAATCAAGGTGACAGGACCAAAAGTTTCCAGGTTGAACGTTACAAGTTTGTCTTCTGAATTATAAATTACATGGCTGATACCATCTGTTCTCCAATGTTTACCTTTATAATAAGTGAAGAAAGTGATATTAATTTTGTTTTTCCTATTAAAAAAAATAAAATGAATGAAACCAACCAAATAAGTGCAATGTGTATAAATTGACCTTTTACACTTAGAATAGAATCTCAACAAAAAGCTGATTTTGCTGAGATTTCCTCTTGCCAATAGGATCAAGCCCAGACTCCTCAGCATGGTATGTAAGACCCTTCAACCGAAACTTACCTCACTTTTTGTTTTCATCCCCTGCCACTTCTCACACATCAATTATCAGCCACACTTCTTATCCTACTCCAACAACATCATATACCTCAGTGCATTTGCATATGTAGTTCTGTTTTCCTAGAGTACTCTTCCCCAATGTTTTAGAGAACCTCTCTTTTTAAAAAAAAAAAAAAGTTTAAAATTCACCTATTTTAAGTGTACAATTAAATTATTTTTAGTATATTTACCCAGTTGAGCAACCATTACCCCAATCCAATTTTAGAACATTTTTATCACCCAATAAGATATCCATTATGTCTATTTATAGTTAATTGCTGTTCCCACCCCCAGGCCCAGGTAACCACTAATCTACTTTCTAAAGATTTGCCTCTTTCTGAACTTTTCATATAAATGCAATCACACAATAGGTGGCCTTTTGCGTCTCTTACCACTCAGTAATAAAACAACCCAATTTACAAATGGACAAAAGATTTGAATAAGAATTTCACCAAAGACGACACAGGAAGGCTAGTAAGTACATAAAAAGATGCTCCGCATTATTTGTCATTAAAGAAAAAAACAAACCAAAAAAACCATCGCTCTCGAGTTGATTCTGACTCATAGTAAATTCAAACTGCCAACCTTCTGGTTAGCAGCTGAGCTCTTAACCACTGCACCACCAGGCCTCCTATTTGTCATTAGGGGAATACAAATTAAAAACACACGGAGATACCACTTCAAATCCACTAAAATGGCTATAATAAAAAAGATAACAAATGTTGGTGAGGATGGAGAAAACTAAGGCATTGTTAGTGAGCATGTAAAATGATACAGCTACTTTGAATAACAGTTGGCAGTTTCGTAAAATGTTAAACATAATGTTACCACTGAACCCAGCAATTCCATTCCTAGAAAAATGAAAACACAGGTTCACACAAAGAGTTGCATGCAAATGTTCATCTTTTAAGGCCATGTTCAATGTTTCATCCTATGAGAAGTCTTCCTTAACTCTCCTAGAACACTAATCTGCTCTATAGCACTTTGTATCTATTATAGCAACGTACTACTTTACATTATGATGTTTTCCCCCATCTGCTTCTCCTACAATCTGGAAATTCCTAGAGAAAGGAATTCTGTCTCTCCTGTCTCTATATTTCTTATTGTTTAGCATATTTATGGAGCAAATGAATGAATCATTCTTTCTAGAATACATGCCCCCGCCATTTCCACTTGGCTCTTCCTCTTCTCATGTGGAGAGTTCCACTGTCTAGTTTTTAACCCTTAAATTCAATATAATAAATACAATTATATTGATATACTAAGTTATTTATAACCCCCCTTTTGGTGTCTAAATTAACACAATTATTTTAATTTGTAAAGATAAAAATTAAATATTGCATATAAATAAATTCTCCAAATTTGTAATGGTTCCCGGCAAAAAGTTTCCCTATAGTTTAAAAACTACTGGAAATTTTTTAATATTTGCTCTTGGAGTTACAGAGTCAAATTTTATACAAGTTATACATATGTCCATGAATCATATGGGACAACTAATCTAATTTAGTTTGAATAATTTTTAATGTGATAAATACTTAGGAATATTACCACTAAATAATGGTAAAGAAAGGCAAGCCTCTAAAGCCACATGAAAGGAAGAAATTACATAATTGTTCATTTTGACATATTTTATAGTTTTATTGTTAGAGACATACTGTTTTAATACATAAACTATTTCCAGAACATAAATAATATCTTGTGGCTCTCTACACTAGCAAAAGTGTTGAGCATTGGAGTACTTATTAAAAAGTTTAAACTACAAAAATATTTACTTTTCTGGGTAGAAGTTCCTTAATTCTCTCCCTCAGTAACTAAATAAGTAGATTAAATAATAGCTCTGTGCCCTAGTGAGCTATCCCCCACCTATCACCAAGTATGTAAATCCCTTCACAAATGAATGGATGTAAGATAGTTAATGTTAAAAACAAAGCTATACAGCTTTCATCTAGGATCCTTGAAACTACATACATTAACTCACAAGACTGAGACCTTTCAAAGTTCAGCCAGCCTACCCAAAACTAGGTATTTTTTTAATGATTAGAGACTCATTAGCTTATATCTCAGTGGATTCTTTGCTTTTATTGATATTTATTTAAGATCTTGCATAAGTAGCAATTTCCCATGGTTCAAGAATCAAAAATTAGAAAGAGGCATACAGAGGCTAGTTTTCTTCTTACTCAGATTTCCCATTTGCTCATTCCTCATGCCCAATAGTCGTTTGCAACTTAATGTTTATATTTCATATTTTAGATCAATAATATTAAAATAATCAAATATTAATCACCCACCCTAATCTGAATTACTTGGTTATGTCAAGAGATAGCAGACTTTCAATTTGTTCATTTGTTTTTGATTTGCTAAACTGTTTTGTATTTAGTTCATTTATTTTTTAACATAATGATATAACCATAAATTAATTGTTCATAGTCTATGGCCAATAAAACACAGTAGGAACTAATAGTTATAAAAGTCAGTAAATTTAAAACTCCAACCCCTATTCATTTCCATCAAGAGCAAGCAAAATGAAGACCCCAAAATTGGCATAGAAATATGTAAGATTAGAAACTCAGTTTTCATACTCCATTTTCTGTTTCAATTTGAGGATTTGTAGTATTATACCTCTTCATTATATGATTATAAAAGCTGGTAAAGGCATTGCTGTACCTTCATGGTCCCACCTTGCAACCATAGGATCCTCAAAAAATATTACATTTTCATGAACCTGAAGCGTGACCTCTATAGGTGGAAAAGCATTTTCTATTTCAAAATCTTCAGTAGTTTCCGGAGGATATACATATTTCTGTAATCCTTCTTTGAGTATCTTTTTAAAAACAACCACAACAACACCAAGTTAGAAGCTGCCTCGTAACAGTTAAAATGCAACTACCACTAAATAAGATTATTTTTAATAATCATTGTAGTTTGGTCCCATTTATGTCACAACAAAATTAAAAGAGCATAATTGAGGAAAAAAACTTGCTAACTATGGATGCAATTATAGAACCCTCCTACGGGCTGGGTTCTGTCCTGAGGCTTAGTCATCATTTTATTCCTCCAAGCAATCCTACAAGGCTGATGATACATTACAGAGAAGATAACTGAGACTTAAAGAAATCAAGCAATTTGCCAAAGTTTACAAAAGGACTTCAAGAAGGGATAAGAACTAAGAAACAGATCTATAGGCCCTCAAATCCCATGCTCATTTCACTATGTTATACTGCCTCGTTGGTGATCAATACACTTCCTATACCTTGGTTAGGGAGTGTAGGTAAGGAGTAAAAGACCTTCTGAGAAGTACAGAAATGAATGGATGAAAATAAATTAAGGAGATGGCAGATTTTTCTGGGATAAGGGAGATTTGTGTGTATCTGAATGCAGCAGAGAAGGATCCAGGGAAGGGAGGAAGGTTAAAAATGTTAGAAAATAGATAAATGATTGCATGGGGCAAAATTCTAGAATAGGTGGGAGATAATTGAAAAGAACCTTGAAAAAAAGGAGGAAAGTCTCTTTGTTGCAGGAAAGAAAAATACGTGTGGAAGAGGAGACTTTGGGCTGAAATGGAGAGCATGGAACGGTGGTATCAGAACATTCTGACAAAATTCGGCAACAACAGATCTTTGAATGGATCCCTGAAAACCCCAGCTCAGGCTGGGACCTTCCTATGGACAGAGTTCTGAAGGTCTACCTACACCAAAGAAATGTCTTTCTTGGACTAACTCCTTTCCTTCAGTTATCCCCAAAGTATCGAGGGCTGATTCAAATAGATTCTTCAAGGTGGCTGTACCAGATTAGCACCCCCATGCTTGCTCTAATACATACATTCTTGAAGGCGAGGAAAAAGGGGAAAGAAGGGCAACATTGTCCCCAAGGGGGTGAAAAATTAGTTCTTAGGGGGTAAAAAGATCTTGTTTTTTATGTATAAAACACATATGTGCACACAGTACAAAAGAGATGTATCTGTGGTATTAAAAATTAATTGGAGAGCAATTACCAAAAAAATGTTGAGAAACACTGCTCTAATACAATACTACTCTAGGTACTCAATGGGTAGGATTGTGCGTGAGAAGTGCCTGGCAACCTGTATACATACTGTGCTAGAGGACAGGAATGAAATGAAGAAACGAAGGGAGGGAGGGAGGGAAAGGAAAGAAAAGCCTATGACAACCTAACCAGGTGTGTGTATATATATATATATATATATATATATATATATGGTGAAATAAACCAATTCAATACTAGTGCCTGAATCACTACGTATAGAAACAGAATGAGAAAATCCTTGAACCATGATCTAAAAACTGCTATCACCAATATCCTTACTACTCAAAATGTGGTCCATGCATCAGCAGTATTAACATCAGCTGGATCAGTGCTTCTCAAACTTTAATGGGCACATGAATCACCCAGAGATCTTGTTAAAATTCAGCTTCTGATTCAGTAGGTTTGACATGCGTTCTAAAATTATGTGTTTCTAACAAGCTCCCCGGTGATGCTAATACTTTGTATATCAAGGACCACACTTTGTATATCAAAGATCAAGATCAGTGGTTCTCAAACTTCAGGGTATATTTTGCTAAAATACAGATTGCTGAGCCTCACCTTCAGAGTTTCTGATTCAGTAGGTCTGGGATGGGGCCCATGAATTTGCATTTCTAACAAGTTTCCAGATGATACTGATACTTCTGACCAAGGGACCACAATTTGAAGACCACTGATCCAGACCAAAGTCAGCAAACTACAGCCTCTGGGAAATCCAGTCCACTACCTATTTTTGTTGTTGTTGTTGTTTTACAATGATAGTTTATTGTATTTTCGGTGGAAGTGTACACAGCAAAACAAGGACCTGTTCAACAATTCCTACACCTCTTGTTCAGTGACATGTTTACATTCTTCACATTGTATCATTATTCTCATTATTTCTATTCTAGTTGTTTTGTCTAATTAGTCTCACATCCCCTCAACCTTCTCATCTATGCTTTAGAGTGTTTGTTGACCACTGGTCTCATATAGATGAATATTTATTGATTTTTGAGACTATACACAGCAAAAACATAAAGTTTAATGGAACACGGCCATGCTCATCCATTTACATATGGCTATTTTGACACGATAATGGCAAAGTTGAATAACTGCAACAGAGCTGATACAGCCCGTAAATGTGAAAATATTTACTATTTGGCCCCTTACAGTACAAGTTTGCCGACATCTGATCTAGGATATCATTAAGATAAAATTGGCAGTATCTAAACATAGTGCTGGAGCCCTGGTGGCGCAGTGGTTAAGAGATCGGCTGCTAACCAAAAAGTCAGCAGTTTGAATCCACCAGCCGCTCCTTGGAAATGCTATGGGGCAGTTCTTCTCTGTCTTATAGGGTCACTATGAGTTGGAATCAACTTGACAGCAATGGGTTTGGTTTTTGGTAAACACAGTGCTAAAGGTTTACAATGAAATGAATTCTCATTTTAAATTTTATATTATTTAGATTCCTTTCCTTCAGTATTGGATTCACACTTTCAAACCTATAATTTCAAGACAGTTTAAAATTACTTGCTTTTCTTTATGATTAATAGGGTTAAAGCTCATTAGATGTTAGTGAGATAAAGTAGAAGTGTGAGAAGCTATTTTACTTATAAATTTTGATTCATAAACCAACCTGCTGCTTGGCGGTTCCTCAAAAAGTTAAACATGGAATTACCATATAAACCTACCATTCCACTCTGGGTATATACCCAAAAGAACAGTACTCAAACAAATACTCGTACACAAATATTTACAGCAGCACTATTCACAATAACCAAAAGGCAAAAACAACCCAAACGTCCACCAACAGATGAATGGACAAAGAAGTATAGTATTTATACATACAATGGAATATTACTCTGCCATAAAATGGAATGATGTATGGGTACATGCTACAATGTGGGTAACCCTTAGCACCATTATGTTAAGTGAAAGAAGGCAGACACAAATGAGTTGATTCCAACTCATAGTGACCCTATAGGAAAGAGAACTGCCCCTTTACAGGAGCTGCCACTACACTGTACACTTTAAAATGGTTCATTTGATGTTATGTGAATTTTACCTTAATAAAAGAAAAGAAAAGAGAGAATCAACCTACTTCCACAATCATCCAGCCATTCACCGGTTTACACTGTGGGGGAAGCTCCAAAATATCCAAGTGGTACACTCCACCCAGAGTTGTGAATTGAAATAAATCAACCTCATATGCTTCAAAAAATTCTGGCTTTTCATAAGCATTCTCTATCAGCAACAATTGTGCTAAAATGAATCAGATTAACAGTTTCTAAATATAACATTTTTTGTATTTTCTTAAGAGGAAAATAAAAAAGTACTAGTAAAATAAGTTTTTAATTAACTGGCTACTAAAATTTTTCAAAAAGTGGTTAACTCATAACTGTTAATAAATCTAACCATGGAAATACAACTAGGTATGTGTAAGGGTGGGGTGCAGGGGAGAGCTTCATTTATAATTCATATACTAACATTCTAGGAATTTTTATACAATAAGCAGGTGCTACTTCTGTAATAAAAAATTTTTAAATCTATTTTATTAAAGACCAAAAATGGTTTAACATAAAATTCAATAACTGTAGAAATTAATTTCTTAAAGTTGAACATTATGAAGTTAAAAATCTAAGTTAAAAAAAACACAAAATAGTGGGGGGGAAAAAAAAACAAATTTTAGTCCATAAATGTAATTAAAGCTGTTTTTTCCCCCCAACAAAAATAGGCCCAGCTCATAAAAAAACAGGGATGGAGGACTGAAAGAGAAGAAACTGAACTGGATAATCTCTGTGGTTCATAAAAGAATCTAGAAGTTCTATGATTCCAAAATTCTCTAGTGCATAATCACGGGGACTATCTGAAGTCACACACTGCATGGACCATTCCTACCCTTCACTGTCATTCTTTCAATATAGTGTAGTGGTTAAGGGGAAGCCAGACTGCTTACAGGTTACACCTTTCACTAGCTGTGTGACCTTGGGCAAAATATACTAATTAACATCTCTATCCTCAGTTTCATCATCTACAAAACGGGGATAATAACAGTATCTTATAGAATTTGAGGGAAGTGAGTTAATGTACATGACGTGTTTAGAAGTGGTACCAGATTCAAGAATTGTTAGTATTATCATTTACTATTACAATTTTCCTCTCACATAAAAGGAAGCACACTCAGCTGGCACTGAATTTAACATATGGAGATCAAGCACTGAAAATTAATGGAAATAACCAAAGGTATTTCCAGTTAAGCAATTACCCATTTTTCCTTGTGTACATTCAACAGACTGCATTCTTTAATTAATTTTCAATTTTTTAAAATTAATAATCCATTTACCTGGAAAGAAAGTAGGAAAGAATACTGTGTGGAAACTTAGATATTTGTGGTAGATACTATTTTGTGATCATCGTATAGAGATACTAGGTGTCACTGACAGAGGTTCATCAACTGACTGTAGTGTCATATTTCTAACAGGAAGATTAGCTGGTAAGGGGTATAGGAAAATTATAAAGATATAAACCTAGGTGACTTCTGAAACAAATAAAAGCGTATTAGAAAAAGCAGCAAGCAAGGGACCAGTTAAGAAAAATAAGATGAGTATTTAGAAAATAGATTCCTTAGGAGTTATTGGGAAAGATGTATATAAATCCTAAACTAAAAGGTTTACAAATTAGACACCACTATCATTTTCAGAAGGAGCCCTGGTGGCACAGTGGTTAAGCACCTGGCTGCTAACCAAAAAGTCGGCAGTTCAAACCCACCAGCCGCTCCATGGGAGAAAGCTGTGGCAGTCTGCTTCTGTAAAGATTATAGCCTTGGGAACCCTAAGGGACAGTTCTACTCAGTCCTATAGAGTTACCATCAGTCAGACTTGACTTGAGAGCAGTGGTGTGGGTTTATCATTTTCACATTTGTAAGCTACACCTGAATTGCTATTTTCCAGGACAAGATTTAATACAAAAACTTACAAATATTCAAAGCGTTAGGAAAGTCCCAATTGTGTGTGCTTGTGAATGTTTATTGTAACAATGTTTGTAATAATAAAATATTAGAAACAAGCTCACTGTCTGTAAATAGGGATTTAGTTACATAAATCATGTTTCAATGTTGGAATGGAATGTTAATACAGCTTCTAAAAAAAACTGAGGTTACCAATGTTCTAACTTACAAAATGTCCACTTGTTAGATGGAAAAAAAAAAATTTCAATGAAAACATTCGTATGATAGGCTCTCAAGGTTTTATTAAAAATCAGAGAACAGGAGAGAGAGAGAAGATAAAAGAAATTTGTTAATACTGGTTATCTCAAAGGAGGGACTATGGAAAATTTTTACTTTAAATAAATCACTGCAATGTCTGAATTTTTTTTTAACAGCGACTATACATTACATTTCTTTTGTAAGCAGAAAATCCCAATGAAGTTAAATGCTAAAAATGTTAATTTAGAAGAATACCTGCTGAAACTGTTTCACTTAATAATTTCATCTCCACTTCAGATTTTATGGCTTCAGATTCTGCAACAGCACTCTACGAAAAACACATAGAAGATGGGTGTGATCATCAGGGTTTTAGCGAAAAGTCATTCTCTTTTGGTTCCAGTTTCCATCTCAGGTGCCTGGTACCTTCCCTGCAGACCCCAAACTCATACTTGCTCTGGCACAGAACTGGATTCGAAATCAATATTTTAAAAAGCAATTACAAGAAGACAGACACAGAACTGTACGAGGACAGGAGCTAGCCCGCTCAGATTCACTGCTGGAAACCCTCAAATTTAAAATATAGAGACTAGGAAGCAATGCAAGCTACAGGAAATATTATTTGTATTTGCATTTTGGTTTTAGCCAATCGGCAGATTTTGCTTGATTTTGACAATCAGCTCTCTGATAGAGTAATTCCAAAGCCTGCTTTTGGGTAAGCCTCTCATGGAAACTGAAGACGCCATGCACCAAATAATGTGGACGATATTATCGCATTATACTCTAGTGTAGTAAAACGAATACTGCAATAAGAGCTTATAAGATCTAGACTTTATACCTAAATGTCACTAACTTACCTCTGTGACCTTGAGAAAGTCACTTAACCATTAAAATCTGTTGCCATCAAGCAGATTCCAGCTCATAACAACCCTGTAGGACAGAGCAGAACTGCCCCATAGGGTTTCCAAGGCTGTAATCTTTACAAAAGCAGACTGCCGCATCTTTCTCCCATGAAGCAGCTGGTGGATTTGAACTGCTGACCTCTCCATCAACAGCTGAGCGCTTAACCACTATGCTACCAGGAATCCTTCACTTAACCATTATGGGCCTCAAATTCCTGATCTAAACAACCACAAAAACGTATTTGGTACTTTGTAACCTACAAGGAGCCCTGGCGGTGCAGTGGCTAAAGTCTAGTTTCTCTTCCGGTGTTTGCGCATTGTTAGTTATGGTTTGTATTCTATTTATGCTGTACATTAGGGTCCCTAGCATGGTCCATAAGTGTTTGGTTGCTAACCCAAAGGCTGAAAGTTCAAATCTACCAGCTGCTCCTTGGAAACCCTGTGGGGCAGTTCTGCTCTGTCCTATAGGGTCACTATGAGTCGGAATCAACTCGACAGCAAGTTTTTTTAGCACTGTCCCTACTTCTTCTTCCATGATCTTTATAGTTTTAGGTTTTATATTTAGGTCTGTGATCCATTTTGAATTAGTTTTTGTGTATCGTGCGAGGTATGGGTCCTGTTTCATTTTTTTTTTTTCTTTTTTACAGATGGACATTCAGTTTTGCCAGCACCATTTGTTAAAGAGACTGTCTTTTCCATATTTAATGGACTTTGGGCCTTTGTCAAAGATCAGCTGACCACAAGTGGATAGATTTACACCTGGGTTGTTAATTCTGCATTAGTCTATGTGTCTGTCGTTGTACCAGTACCAGGCTGTTTTGAAAAGCTGGCTATTTTTAATGCATTTTTTCTTCTAGATAAACTTTAGTAGTATTTGGGCAAGTTTCAAACATTATCAACTTGAATTTTTATTTGAAATACACTACATTTATAGATTTATTTGGAGACAATAATTTTTTAAAGATATCTGCCTGGAATAGTTGACAATATGAAACACAGAACGTAGCTCAAGTACAACTTTTCACTGACACCTTGGATCAATATACCGTATTTTTTCTCAAATAACTCGGCCACACATAATAACACACATAGCGCATCTAGGAAAATAACGTGTGAGGGGGTTGCGTGACCGGCAAAAAAAGTCTAACGCACACATTATTTGCATAAAAATATGGTATATAGGAATTGCTTAAAATGTGAAAGAACATCATAGAACAGTAGCATTTTTCATTGCAACTTGATAAATGCACAGATATTAGTAAGATGGCAATTCTTTTAATATATGTGCATCTTGAATTTGATATAAAAACATAACCAAGATCATGAATAGGTAGGTCAGTGAAAACAAAAAACAAATTCCAGAAATATATCTGGGGATCCACTTGAAAATTTAGCATACGGCATTTCAGATCAATGAGAAAAGCCTATACTTACATTTTAAGTGTTTTGAGATAGCCAGCTAAAATTTGAAATAAAATAAATTTAGATTCTTACTTGTCACATTACACTAAAATAAATTCCAGATGGATTAAAGATTTAAATGTGAAAACAAAACTAACCAATCAAAATTCACAAAAAAAAATCAGGAAAATATCTGAAGAGAATATAAGGCACATCTGTCAGTGATTTTCAGTGAAGTAGGTGATCCTGATACTGCACAGCTACAAAATGTCGGCACTGAACACTTTACAAATTTGATAAGACTGCCTTGAATTTTACTGTCCATTAAAAGAAAATCTATACAAAGGAAGTTCATTAATCTGAAACACATTTTTTCATCAAAAGATAATTCAAATATAACTTCAGAATAAATTGTTGGAACTGGATCTTGATAAGCAATTAAAGACAAACTTTGAAAATATAGCCTCACTTGCTTCATTATGGGTGAAAGTTAAAAATCAATATCCTTAGCTTGCTACCTGAAGTCTCATTCCTGTGGCTTTAAATACTATCTGTGGAATCCCTGGGTTGTG